GTGAGCCGTCTTTCAATCTGCTCACCCCCCAAACCTCGCTCCGATCACACGCTCTCTGAAGACCGTTTACAGCACTTCAACCGGACACCGATTAATTACCACCACCACCACTCAGCTGACTGCAGCCTCTGACCGACCGACCGACAGTGCTCGGATGAGCAATCACCACGCGCACACGAGTTGTCAAACTCTGGGGCTAAGTGGGTGGTGGGCAGCAGAGCTCAACAACAGCACAAGACCCATTGTTGCACAGTACTATCGTACACCAATGCTCCACGCAATCGCCAACCCGTACTGACCAGCGTGGTGAAGTATGGTCAAACAGCCTGGGGGAGGCCCTCTATGAGAAACAAAGGTCGCAATCGGGTACCCGATACCCGTACCCTACCCGATACCCGTACCCTACCCGATACCCGTACCCTACCCGATACCCGGCTACCCGTACCCGGCCGTGTAGCTACACATGTAGCTACGGGCCCCGCACTTTCAAGGGCCCCACGCTGAACGCTTTCAGGCTATCAATTCTGGTTCAGTGATTCTGCACTTGCTCTATTACTATAGTACTATACTGCCTTCAACTTTTATGAACGACTGGGTGTTTAAGGTTAGCGATTTTTCGTATTATCTGTGGCTGTATAGAAAATGAAAATATACAATTACTTTACTGTGCAAGTACAACATTTGTGTTTTAATATTGAAGTGTTTTTTTATTTAGGGCCTCTTTTTATAACAACATATGCTACAGGCCCCGCAACGAGCTTAATCTGGTCAGTACGGGTTGGCCACGTTTGCTGTGGACTACAGTGAGTGGCTGGAAGTGCAGGCGTCAGGAGTGAAACATGGCCAATCGTGGGTTGAAGCCACAAAGGGTAAGAGGCATCTTCTTGGTTCTTTCGATAAAGTCATCACGTAGAAGGGAAATAATAAAATAATCAAAATAAAACATAATAAAATAATTATCACGACGTTTCGGCTACAACGCAAGCAGCCGTCCTCAGGTGAAGAATGAAACACCACCAAGCTTGGAGCGTATATTTCAGCTGGGTTGGAGGGGGAAGAAGAGCGCCTTGACAAAATAATTTGCATATCAAGAGGAATTTAGCATATTTATGGGAAATGGAGGTGGGCGGGGGTTTCAAAGTCATATTATGCCCGTGCATTATGCAGGATTAGCAGCATCAAAGGGAGGGGATAGGTGGTAGCATTAACAAAGGGAAGGAATGTTAATAGTATGTAGCTGCAGTTACGAAACCACGACGTTGAAAAACTCAAGGATAAACTACATAGTATCATCAGTATACTAAATATACTCTCCAATAAGCTGAGCTACTAACAGTAAGTAAGCTGAGCTACCAACAATGTATTACTTACTTAATAAATTACAATTCTATGTCGCTAAAAAAGTAATAAGAGAAGACATCGCACGAGGTGGGCACGTGTCTCAGCGAACTCATGCCGCCAGGGCGACGAATCAGCACAGCTGATTTCATGGGTTCAAATCCAGGTTTCTCAGCCACTCGAAATTAACCTGGGTTCTCAAGTGCAATGGAGTTGCTGGTCTCAGTCTGGTCGCTAACGACTGCATAACCCCATTGAGTAAAATTTGCTTTCGCACACTGGATACGTTCCAGGTATGAGAATAATAATTACTAGCTTGTTTGCCTGTCCAAGGACGGGTGTATATTGCAGTAAATGTGAAATATTAAATAGAAAAATTGTTCAGCTCATGATTATTAATGAGGGGGGATGGGTTGTCCCATGTAGAGTGACGTCACCCGTTAATCGTTATTGTGGAGGGGTGCGGCATGTGGAGTGACGTCACCCGTTAATTGTTATTGTGGAGGGGTGCGGAATATGGAGTGACGTCACCAGCTCATGATTATTAATGAGGGGAGGGGTGCGGCATGTGGAGTGCGTGACCTTGTGCGTTCGTGTCAATTTCCACGCCGGCATGAATATTAATGATGGGGGGGGGGGGGGGCTCTTTTGCAGTGACGTCACGCACGGATGTAGCACTGTGCTGCTTAGATTTATTTTTAAATCCTTTATATTAAGTTCACTTGCTTGCTTGCTTGCGCGCTTACGACCGTGCAAATCTTTCGGTCGTTTTTTAACCCACTTCCCGTGATCCAATCGAGCTGACATTTTGCACACAGACTCGTTGTGCGTGACAATTTATTTTCGTGAAATTTTTTTCCCCAAAATTTTACACTTTTTAGGAAAAAATAAATTATATTTAATTAGCAATTGCTTAATGGTGGCAGGCAATCATCTTACCCATAGGTGGCAGCCATCTCAAGCCAGAGGACGAGAGGACTCTAGCCGCCACGCATATAAAGGATTTATAGTGAAAAACTTTGTTTTTACGGGTTAATTTTTTTACCGTCACTTTCTGTAAAGACACATCAAGATTTAACCGCCTCTAAGGAGAGGGGTTCCACACAACTATTAGATCTTTTGACAGACTTCGAGACAAGAAGGCTCATCTGATCGAGTCGCTCACTTTTCTGAAGAGATGCCGCGACACCAAAGTAATACTTTACACTGACATCTGCTGCTGTCACTTCTCCTAATGCTAAACGGATCTTGTTCAGGGCCGGCCGAGCCCTGATCTCAGAGAGAATAAGATTGCTCCGATTTGAACTAGACAATTTAGACAAGACTCTCTTGCAATCACACTTAACAGTGACAGAAAAAATGCCTGTATCTGATTGGGAACATGTAGATAACATGACAGCCTCTTCAGCCGCCTCAATGTCAGCTAAATGCAAAGATAACCTGATTTCCAAGTTCAACCAGAAGCCAGATCCACACGTTAAAAAGTTAGACGGCGGCAAGATTGTTATCAATCAGAGTAACAGCCCAATTTCAGACAGCCTAAAATCAGTTCTAGCTAAAGGGTTGAATTTCGCAGTCACCCCTAAACACATCCCAGTTGATGATATCATTGCCCAGGTCGACGTAGCCACTAAGGGGTTGCGACACATTCCTGCAGACGTGGCAAGATCGGAAATCGCTGCAGTCCTCAAAAACGCTAAGACATATTAGCAACATCAGCAAGGATGAGCGCTTTGAGCTTTCTCAACTAAAAAAAAGAGAGATGACTAAGTCATCCTCTGAGCCGATAAGGGCAATGCCACTGTCATCATGGACAAAACCACATACAATAACACAATTCAGGACCTACTTAATGATGGCAGCTATACCAAAATCAATAGAGATCCTACCGACCGCCTGGTTACAAAAAACAACAATACCATCAGTCTTGATTTGAAACATTCGTGACTGCAGGAATCCATACTCTTTGGTTATTTCGGTAAAGTCACGTAGGTAGAAAAATAATAGATCACGACGTTTCGATCGCAACACAACCACAGCAAAAAAAAAGCATCAGTTTTTTCTTTCTGTGGTTGTCCCACCTGATGACGATTGCTTGTGTTGCGATCGAAACGTCGTGATCTATTATTTTTCTACCTACGTGACTTTACCGAAAGAACCAAAGAGTAATATCATAACTGATTCGACATCTTTAATCGAACCAACCAAGCGGCTTTCCTTAAAACCCTCTGCTGCTAGACCACCCAGATTTTATGGCTTACCAAAATCCATAAAGAAGGTACACCCCTTCGTCCTATCTTCTCCACCATTGACTCACCCACCTACAAACTGGCCAGATTTCTGTCTGAGACCCTACAACCATTCACTGGTAAGACCACCTCAGCTGTACTTAACTTAGCTCACTTGGTATCTCTATTTAAAGACATCTCACTATACTGAGACCTCCTTTACCAGTGGCAAAATATAGTAGTAGGTTTTTACCCTTTAAACTGGTACAAAACTGACACCTTTATACAAGGGATCATGTTTGCAATAACCACAACACAAGCAGTCAAAATGCAAACAAAAAGAAACAACTCTGATAATGATAATAATATGCACTGTCCTTGAAGTTGATTGGTCCACACCCGAGACAGCTTTCCTTAGAGCCTAGTCTCCATTGGTGTTGGACCAGATGACACCAAAAGGCGTACAACTCAGATGGCTCAATGAGACACTGTCTACAGGAAAGCCACCCAAACGGATGCCGATCTAAAGCCCGACTCCCACCACCATCCATCCCAGAATAATTTCCTCATCGAAACTCTACACCATAGAGCTCATTGTATTTCTGACCATCACCACCTAGCCAGTGAACTGGAGCACGTACACCAAGCCCTCAAGATGAATGGATATTCGGACTACACAATCCGTAAAGCCATCACCCCAACCGTTGGGAAAGAACCATCTGAGGACCCAATCAAAACCATCACCTTGCCATGCATAGCAGGGGTCACCAAAATTATTTCCAAAATCATGAGCAAACACAAGATCCAGGTTCGATTCAACACAGTACATACAATTCGTGATCTGACCCCATCTGTGCAGGATGTGGTCCCTGACATGCAATACCCCGGGGTGTCTACAAACTAAGCTGTGTTTGCGGCAGTAGTAACATTGGGGAAACTAAGCGACATGTCTCGGACCGTCACGCTTGGGGGTAGGCCTCATGTGGAGTGACGTCACGCACGACACACATTCTTGGCTCATTATATTAGTAATTTTCATTTTTGTCATCCAATAATCTCGTAGCAGTGGGCAGCTTCCCAAATGCAGGTTCATCCTGAAAATATCTTGACTCACCATTGCATTCCAGTTTATCCATAATAGACAGTGAAAGCCTATGTGTTAAACAGTATAGTTTACCATGGGAGTCAATTTTACCATGGGCGTCCATTTTACCATGGAAGCACATTTTATCATCGGAGTCCAGTTTATCATGGAAGCTCATTTTTCCAGGTGCACCATTCACACTTGTTTACAATCTCACCACACAGAGGCTGTTTTGGACCACTTTCTTAGACTTATGAATGGAAAATCTTTCGTCTAGAATCGTGACACCGACGCGGCACCATTGACAAACAGGCAAAAACACAAACAAGGCAGACAACGCAGGAAGAGGATGCTGTGATACCACCATTTATAAACAACACGACGCTGCATGTTCCATACATACATTACAGTGTATATAGATATACTTTGTTTAAAAAATTAAATCGAATGGTTGTACAACTGTAGGAATAACGACCGCAAAGGATTGTCAAAGAATTGCACTTTTACATTATTTTAAACTTTTCCGTATTTCACACGATCAAATCGAGAACTGAAATTGACCGGCGTTTTAAATGGACCGATCGGCACGGACACGATTGGAATGCTCTGCAGAGACCGTGCGTCTTGGCTGAGGAGGAGAGGTGGTGGTGGTGGTGGTGGTGGCAGCGACGATGATGTGATGGCGGCGGTGATGGCAGTGATGGACATCGTGGGGTTAAGGGAGAGACGCAAAACCGGTGTTAAATAAAGTGCCATCGTGACAGGGACGCGCAGACGTACCTAGCAGGAGTCATGGCACACGGAATCACTATTTTTTTTTTGCCACGACACTGATGGTGGCATTGACGGCAAAACACCTGGGCGCATGCACATCTACTGTACGTCCTCTTAGGGGATATTAAAAAAAAATGTACAGCGAACAGCGGTAGCACCCACGCACAGGTGAAATGGAATAAAGTAATGAAGAGATTTACCTCCTGCCGCGTTGCCAAAGGGCGCATCAAATTAAAGAGGGGTGGGAATAAAAGCAAAACCGCTGAGACGTTACAATACCACGTTGATTCATCGCGGCAATCTATTTGCAAAATTCTCTTTGCTTGACAGCCGTAAGTGGCAGGGGGAGGGAGGGAGGGGGGGATATAAATAATGCAACTTCGCTCTGGAAGTCAAGTGTGGCACTAACAGCGAGACGCGTGCCAGGCGCGCGCAAACACGGCAGCGCCCGCGCGCGTTTTCCGGCCAACCCGGACGAAACGCAACGTTTTCCTCTCGTGCTCCCCTTCATTGTCAACGTGTCACCGTGCTGGTGATGGATGGAAGGGCGCACACGTCCGCCGAAACTTATTTCGCACTGTGGGTAGCCAACCGGGATGAACGGTGCTGGGGCAACTCCACTGCATTATGGGCCAGACCTGTCCCCGGATTTGCGTTCGTTTTACAAGTTGTGCGTACCTCGTGACGCTCTTCGTTTCGGGCATAATCCGCAATGATAATAATAATTTCGGAATAATTTGAGCTCGTTTAAACTAAGTTCAGAGTTGTTCAGACATACCTTGAGGCTATAATAAACCTTTACCCCGGTTTTCCCCGCTGTGAGACCGGCTTGTTTAATGCAACAAAACTTTTATTGCAAATTTTTTTTATCACGCGGTCCGGTGAAGTGTTCCTTAATCGTAAAACGTTGAGTTCTTTGTCCACCGCTGGGTGAAGCCTCACATGGTGTCTGTCCGTGGGGTTTGTATACCCACGCAGTGGCGCACAAGCACAACCAACACATCCTCTCGACGCGCTCGTCAACAACACTGCGACTGGCCGCAGTGGCGAGATGTTAACTCCTTTGCCCTGATGTCATGCGAGTTTGACGCCTCGTGTATATTTAAGAGTTTGCATGTTCTCCCCGTGGTCGGGTGGATTTGTCCTCCGGGTTTCCCCCTCCACATTTAGAAACACGCGCTGAAGAGCATTTGGCTGCTCCAAATTTGTACATAAGCCACTTCGTTTGTGGCGAGGTCGCTTCTGAAAAAGTGGGCCTCACATGGCTGCTTGCGTTGTGGCCGAAACGTCGTGAGAATTATTTTACTGTTTTATTTTTATTATTTTATGACTTCCCTTATAGGTGACTTTACCGAAAGAACCAAGAAGAAAAATTAAAATAGTTAACATTTTTACATATTTCAACACTGCCACGTCTCGTTACCGAAACGTTGGCAGTTTTATATATTTTTTAATTTTATTTTAAGGCCACAGTGTTATTGACGAATGTGTCGTGGGGGTCCAGAATGTCACATGCCACTGATGAGAGCCGTGGCAGGTAGCCAGGTCCATCGCGTAGCACGCGAGCCACGGCAGCACCACTCGACCCCCGGCACCACCACTCGACCCCCGACTTATTACAGCAGATATTAGTAGGTAAGTGTGCGTGATTATTAAACATTCTCCCCGGCTTATCACAGCAGATGAGTAGGTAAGTGTGCGTGATTATTAAACATTCTTAATGAGTAAGATGAAGAAGACGTCATTAGATGTCAGTCCTATGAGCATCATAACACAGTGGGATGCCCCTATTGTAATTCCATCATAGCCAAAATTGAGACTGGTCCTTGTGAAAGGAACGTGGACTTTGTTGCGGCATGGATTCACGGCAGCCAATGGAGACGACGCACCGCCCATTGGCTATTTGTTAATGGAGATTTTCTTCTTATTTTGTCGTGGTACGCGTGGAGCAGTGTTTCCATTTGTCATAGTTAAATTAAAAGTAATTCACATGAGCCAGTCACCTAATTGTCTGCAGTAAGGGCGTAACACGAGGAGGGTTGCCAGGGTTTCTCCCGTGCACACAGCGTTGAACCCAGAAATGATACCTGTATACGCGACACCAAACATTAGTAACTCTCAGCTGTGACACAAGTTTCACTTTGAGACGTTGTAAAAAGAACGAACCAAGAGAAGACAACAAAAAAACGTGGAAAAGCAAATGCGCTGCAGCCTCGTTCGCAGCCCGAAAGTGTCAACTCGGGCACTTTGCGGGAGACGCGGACGGGCGACGGCGATTCGTTTCTGGGGCTCGATTTGGAAGGGGCTGGCGGCGTGCCTCTCTCCGTCTCGCACACAGGTCTGCTCCGTATTGCACAGGACAAGGGCGCGCGTGCAGTGCTCCACTCACCGGGCGTTCGCCGGTACCCCCCGCGGCAAGGGCAGCGCGGGGGGGATGGTGGGGGGGGGGGGTGCCTTTCGGAACACGTGCCCGCAGCGTTGGCACAGAGCCCTTTAAATAAGTCTACACGATTCAGTTTTCTCTTTGAACGGCGAAAACACAACACGGCTACAGCTGAAATCAAAAGAACCCCACCGCTCGACACGCGCGTCAGAAAATAAATGCGGCCCGCTTAACTTTTACCCGGGGGGGGGGGTGGGTGGAGTAGGTGGGGGGGGGGATCGAGGGTATAGCTGACGAACATGTCGCCCCCCTCGCCCCCGCATGCAGACACGGGCTGTGCAAACCGCACGCACGCACGCACACGGCTACAAACATCGTTGACAAAAAAAAAACGAAACTAAATAAATAAGAGCTCCCGAGCCCGTAGGGGATCATCTCACCGCCCGGCTCCGGTTTTGAAGAGGAAATAAAAAAACAACTTTTGACCCCATCACCTTGTCCGCACGGAGGTGACGCGTTGCAGGCGACCCGGTTGACTGGAAAAACGGAGGGGGGGGCGATCGCTGTGAACATTGCAATGCTGGCGGTAGTTACTTCACCGGAGCTTCTGCCAACATGGCAAATTAAACTCTTCGCCTCACCTTGTCCCGCACGCAGGTGACGCGTTGCGGGCGAGGCGGCAATTTGGAAGGCGACCGCTATGAACTCACCAAAACAATTTATTATGTTACCAGGCAAGACCCACTGAGCTGTGTAGCTATTGTTCAGAAGCGACCTGGCCACAAATTATAGCTCAACCAAGTGGCTTGTCATCACGTGGGAATTTATAGCAGCCAAATATTCTAAACTCACGTTGGCAAATCTGTAGGGAAAAATCCACACGATTACCAACATACTGCTAGCAGAAGTCACTTCACCAGAGCTTCTGCTACCAGATGGTAGCATGAGAAGCAGCGTGTAACAGCCGGTTATTGTGCGGATCTTGGGGGCAATTTGGTCATACTTCACGACGCTGATCCAGCGTCGTTTTCAGAAGGCGGGCGGCGCGTAGAGGCGAGAGCACGAAAGTACAGTTCGACGCATTTTGCCGCACTGCCCTTGCTGACCGTTGTGCATGATGGTCACCCGTCCAAGCACGATGGTCCAGGCTCAACCCGACATCGATTTGGTCATCGGTGGAAGTGTATCGTGTGCACAGCTCCATCCTTGCTTATTCGTAGCATTCTTAACATCCTAACGCTCGCTCTCTCTCCCATGCTGCCATCTGGTGGCAGCAGCTTCGACGAAGTAACTCCCGCCAGCATTGCAAGTGTTCTATTAAACCGCCTGCGCGCACCGTTTGAGACCCCAAGAGCCAAAGGCAGAATTGTATTCGTTTCAAAAACTGGAACCAAGAGTGGTAATTTGTACCCCAATTTCCAGCGGCACATCCGAGCCGAGCCAGCGCGCGGGGGGGGGGGGGCCCTCACGGCACGGGAAGGGTTTCCACCAGCAATTTGGCGCACCGAGCCATGAGCGAACTGCGATACGCTAGCCTTAGGACATCTGGATCAGGCTCGGGGGGGTGGCCAAGCGGGGCCAGGTTCAGCGTTGCGTGAGCTGGTACACGCTGCGAGGTCACGGCGTCATTTACAAAGCATGTCTTGTACGCGACGCAAGATGCGCGGCTCGGATTCTGCAGTGGAAAAATGACCTGGTGCCTCGTGAGCCACGGACAGGGCTGGCTCGGTTGCCCAGTGGAACAGAGGCAACGGTGACCTCTCGGGGCGGCCTCACGCGGGCGAGGGAGCGGGAGGGGTCAGAGTGGGGGGCTGGGGTAATGAGGGGGGGGGTCGAGGGTCACACGGCCTCGGTGGGACCCAAGTAGCTCTGCAGCTTGCGCACGATGGCCTGGTCGAGGGAGAAGAGGTCGAAGTCGAAGGTGGTGCTCGTCACCTGGAAGTGTCCCGTCTCTTCGATGAGATTCACCACCTGTGGCGCCCCACGCAAAGACAAAGATCGCGGTTATAGCCTCATCAGACTGTTGGGGAAAGTTCTGTTAGCGAGCACTTATGAAGGCTGGCACAGCACACGAGGAGATGGGTGGCCAACACCATGCCCGGCCACATTTGTCTCCCCAGTGGTGATGTTTACACACCATACACCAGGAACTCATTTGAGGCCGAGTTGACCCTGGGGAGGCCTGTGATCGGTTTAAATAATCGTCATTGGTGTTGGCCGTGAGCGGGAATCGAACTCGGGTTGCCGGGTTCATAGCGCAGCGCGCTAACCGCGACCCTCCCACTCCCCACAGTCATCATCATCATCAGCCGTGCTCTGTCAACTAGTGGATGAACGCTTCCCCAAGTCATCGGCGTCTCTCACAATCTCGCAATGCAACAATCCATCTAGCTCCAGGTGATCTCGCCGCTCAATCTCCGCAGCGATCGGACTGTTTAAAACTACTGGACATCCGTGAAAAAGAGATTCATTGCTCATCGTATACAAGCACAAAACAAAATATTCGCCCACTTTCATCATTAACACTGCCACTGCCGTTTTTGTTATATAAGTTTCGTCACTAATTTTGTACTAGGGTCGGCATCTGCTAGACAGACGGACGACCACGCGGAGCTGAGAACAAACAGGCTATGGGCATCGTATTGACCGTTAAGAAAAGTGTGTCCAAGCAGGCCACGCCGCTCCAAGTGACGACAGCCGATGGGTCGAGGCCAACGACAAACGCCAAAGATGCTGCATAAAGCGTTAAGGTCCAGCCGTGCGGGTGCTCACACTCGAGCAAACTCGCTAGTATTTGGTCTACTCTTCTGCGTTGACCAGGCGTGATAAAAGGTGGACGAACCCACACTTTACCTCGCCGCACGTGGCTTGCCAATCGACTAACTGTGGTGAACTCATTCATACTGCTGGAGGACAGATTGGGCGGGGTCGGGGGGAGATTTCAGAAAGTCGCCCCACGGATCGTTCAACTATTTCAAACTATTCAACTATTTTTTATTCTACCAGGTAAGGCACCACACTGAGCTATACGGCTCTTTTTCAGAAGCGACCTGGCCACAAAAGATAGCTCAATGAAGCGGCTTACCACGTGGAAATTCATAGCAGCCAAATACCCTAAATGCGTTTCGATTCTAAATGTTGAGGGATAAACCGGAGGACCCGGAAAATAATCCACGCAACCACGGGGAAAACATGCAAACTACAAATATAAAGGAGTCAGGGTTGGGATCGAACCCACGTCCTCCTGAATACCAGGCGAGGTAGTTAACATCTCATAGCCACCGTGGCGCACATCCAGTGTGCTGACCATTACAACGGCAGCTCTTGAAGGCGCCGCATCTGCAGGTTAATTGCCGACGAACGAGGGGACCGAGCGGAGGATTTACCTGCTGCAAGGTGCTCCTCTCACGCAGCATCATGAGCCTGCGGTGCAGCCGTACCAGCTCCTCCATGTAGGCCTGCAAGCAGCAGCGACGGCGGTCAGGGAGGACAGACGGCGGCGGACGTGACGATCGGCTCGTGCACGACGCGCTCGTACAATAATACAAATAAAACAATCTATGACGTTTCGATGTAAAGCTTTCGTGACTGCAGGGATTCATATTCGTGGTTCTTTCGGGAAAGTCACGTAGAAGAGAAACAATAAAACAATATAAATATAAAACAATAAAAATTCTCACGACGTTTCGACTGCAACACAAGCAATCATCATCATCAGGTGTGAAATCCACAGCAAGAAAATCTGTGACGCGCATACATTTCGCGATTTGCTCATCAAGCGCCACAGGCCTAAGCTAAATGACACTTTGCGGCTGCTGCGATGTTGTTCTCAGTCGCTCATCATCTCTCTTTTCTTCGTCTTTCCCCACGCACCTCCGATTGCCCCCCCCCGCACCTCCGATTAGCAGGTTTGGCTACGTGCGGTGCGAAAGAAGCTCAAACCTTACAAGAAGACAGCAAAACGAACAATTAACGTCGCTCATCTTGTAGCTTGGGTTTGTCTGTCCAACACGAGTTTCTAGACTTCATGAATGACAAAGTCAAGCTACCCTGGTAGCTCAGGGCTGATATGATGTACTATAAACTATTTTTTATTTTACCAGGTAAGGCCCACTGAGCTATGTAGCTCTTTTTCCAAAGCGACTTGGCCACAAATGATAGCTCAATGAAGTAGCTTATCACGTGCAAATATAAAGCTGCCAAATACTCGATTTCACACGTGGAGGGAAAAACCGGGGGACCCGGAGAAAAACCACATGACCATGGGGAGAGACATGCAAACTCCAAATATACAGGCATCAGGGTCTGGATCGAGCCCACGGCCTCGTGCATACCAGGCGAGGTAGTTAACATCTCCTAGCCACCGTGGTGGCACCACAGCTCAGTGAGAGCACCGAGCCGGCAAAACAAAGATCTTGGGTTCAAATCTCAGATTCAGACAAACAGCTTTCGGATGTTGGGCCAATTCCATTCATGAAGCGTTTGGCACGTACTGTGCGTGAATACAATTCGGTAACCAACTTAACTGACTGCCGGAAATTGTTTGAAAACCAAAAAGTAGATACTTAATCCTGTGCAGAACACTAATATCTTAGAAATAGTTTGCCAAAACAAAACAGTAAATTACTCCTAGTAATTCAAATAACCATTTCACAATGTTTTAATGGTTATTTCAAAAACTGCGTGCCATCACCAGACAAATGTTACACTTATGCTGCAAGTAGCCTTGAATTTAAATCTATCAAACATAACCTTGAACTGGATATGTCACGGCTCCAAATCTCTTATCCACTGCCTGATTTACTTAATAAATTGTTAAATTCACACATTTACAGCTGCCTGGAAACTGGCAAAGGTGATTCTCAGTTTTTAATTTGGCGAGAAATTGACAATGTTTAACTATCGGCCAATATCACTGTGTTGTCTAAAGTCTTCAAGCTGTTTGTAAATTATAAACGAATGGACTTCTACACTCAAGTGTTCCTTTCTAAATCAGTTTAGGCCCGGCTATCGCCCAAAGCAATCTGCAATAACAACCCTGCTGAAAGTAATGTATGATATATATATAGTGTGCTATGGACCAAGGTCAGATTAGCGGAGAAATCTTTATAGATGCCAGTAAGACTTGTGATAATGCGGATCGAATGCTGCGGCACTACACAACTAGAATACTCCGGACTAGGTCCCGATGCATTTAGCGAAGGTTAAAGTCCGACCTCACTGGCAGGCGGTGATTTGTTTCCATAAATTAACAATAAAAAAAGATTGCCAGGCATCTAGAATGTGTGTTACTCTTATGGATAATCTAGGCCAGAGGAAGTGACTTCAAATTAGTTATGAAATCACAAATGGGGCTTCCCCAGGGCTCTATACTTGGGCCCCTGTTGGTCTCAATTCTCACCACACACCGAAAACATGCATATATTTCAATATTAATCAGTATGCTAATGATACAATCCTCTACTATAGTGTGAAAGCAGTTACTTATCTGACCGTCGAAATCCATAGATATTTTAATAATGTACAAAAGTGCTTCAGAGATAACAATCTAATGATTAATGGCAAGAAAACACGAAGATACTGACTTCACACGCACACAAAAAACATTGGATTATATCAGATGTGAGTTTTCATTTAATTCGCTTATCTGGCTCTGAGAATGAACAAATGAAAATATTTGATTGCTAGGCACCTACATTTCTATTTAAAGCTTTCGTAACTGCAGGGATTCATCTTCTTGGTTCTTTCGGTAAAGTCACGTAGAAGGGAAATAATAAAAATAAAACATAATAAAATCCAATTCTCACGACGTTTCGGCCACAACGCAAGCAGCCGTCCTCTTTCCGACAGCCCTGTTCTTCACCTGAGGACGGCTGCTTGCGTTGTTGCCGAAACGTCGTGAGAATTGTATTTTATTATGTTTTATTTTTATTATTTTATTATTTCCCTTCTACGTGACTTTACTGGTAGGCACCTACCATGTCTATTGCTGAAATGGATAATCTAGGCCAGAGGAAGTGACTTTACGCGAGTTCTGTGATGTCACCTCATGCACTAATCCTCTGATGGCCCCGCTGCGGGAGGCTTGAATGGGAATATATTTTAAAAGAGGTCACCACTGAGATCCCTGGATTTTAAATTGGTTTAGACCGGGGCTTTCAAGTGCAGCGAGTTGATTGGTTTCAGCCCGGTAACCAAATAACCCCATACAATTAAATAAAAATTTGGTTTTCACGTTCATTTGATGAAGATTTATTCTGTGGCAGGGAGTGTCATAAAACGGTCCCCCCGTATGTGTTGATGAAAAAGGTCACTTGAAGGGATACCAGAAGTAGTTCTCTCATATCTCCTTCTATGGGCTATTCTCTAATCTGCGCGCGGGAGGGGGGGGTGAGTCATTGCTCTGGTGGGCGAGAGTTCTGAAAGGAAACATCGTTTCAAGGAATGACAAAAATAGCTCAATTTGAATAAACTTGGGAAAAAATGACAGTTGAACAGATTAATTCACTGCTAAAAAATAACTGGAAATGTCTGACCAACAGGGTTGTAATACCTTCAAATATCCCATATATGCAATAACTATCGATTGTGCACAGCATGTTATTCGCCGGGTCATGGCACGGCATTTGAAGTAATTTAATTTAATTCATCGTTGTCTTACGCTATATTAATTTTCCCTGGGACTGCGGGTCACATGCGCTATTACTCTACCCTGTGTACATGACCACGGATTTGGATCAGCTGTCGTAGTAAAGGTGGACAGTGTTATTCATCTTCTTGGTTCTTTCGGTAAAGTCACGTAGAATGGAAATAATAAAATAATAAAAATAAAACATGATAAAATAATTCTCACGACGTTTCGGCCACAACGCAAGCAGCCGTGCTCAGGTGGAGAACAGGTCTGTCGAGAAGACAGTCTGAGAATTATTTTATTATGTTTAATTTTTATTATTTCCATTCTACGTGACTTTACCGAAAGAACCAAGAAGATGAATCCCTGCAGTCACGAAAGCTTTAAATCAAAATTTAGTGTTATTCATATAAATACGTGGTGCATCTATCATCAAAATAGACGACACATTGGGTACCACGTTGCAAACTACGCAGGTCAGTTGATGCTATTAATGCCAATGTACGGCACTTTGGGTGACTTGCAAATCTGATCCACATTTTAAATTCTCAAATTCACTTTTTATATTAAATTATCGTGTCTCCCAGTGTTATTCACGATTGTGCTATTGGCATCGTGTGATTGGACCTACAATGTCCATTTGAAACTCTCGCGGAGTCGTTGCGCCACCCCCTTTAACAGAGAACAGCATAAATTTCGATTTAAAGCTTTCGTGACTGCAGGGATTCATCTTCTTGGTTCTTTCGGTAAAGTCACGTAGAATGGAAATAATAAAATAATAAAAATAAAACATAATAAAATAATTCTCAGACTGTCTTCTCGACAGACCTGTTCTCCACCTGAGGACGGCTACTTGCGTTGTGGCCGAAACGTCGTGAGAATTATTTTATTATGTTTTATTTTTATTACTTTATTATTTCCATTCTACGTGACTTTACCGAAAGAATCAAGAAGAGAACAGCATGTGAAAGGAGATAATTCCGGCATTCCTTCTGAGATCCCGTCAAAGTGATCTCTTATTCAATCTCGGGTCGCTGCACTTTTCAATGCAGCCCTGCTCTCCAAGTGATGTTCAGTGCATGACAATTTTTTGTAATTCTCACAGTTGCAATTTTTTTTTACTAGATTGAACTGTGAAAAAATAAAAAAACTAATGATGTTTTTTCATGCAATCATCAGCCAGCAGGCCGAGACCATAAAACTCAAGACACATGGTTTAATTATGGGTGGCTCCACAGCTTAGAACACAGGCTCTCTCTCTTAGTACAGCCAGCTCAGTGAGTGATCTGACCTCTGCAGTACCCGGGCCAGATTTAAAAACATTTTCCTTACTTTAGATAAGTAAACAATGGAAAAAACCCGCTGACATTATCCACCATTGTTATGCAAGTTTACACAACAGAGCTTGTAACATCCCCGTAGTAATGCTGTACACATTGCGCGTAGCGCACCCAAACTCTCCGTCAAACGCTAGAAAAGACACAAGCAACAGATAAACACAATTAGAGACGCATGATGAGGAATCGACCCGGGGATCAATACGAATTCCCTCCCCGCTCTTGTTTAATTCACTCTTCCCCGAAGTCCCTAGGGCCAGACCCATGCTCCATCCGTCCATTGTGAGTCACAGTGCAGTCAGGACTAGTCCACCTCCGCGAGCCGTGGTTAGGTCAAACATCACGCTGAACAGACGCGGTGAATAGAACCGTACAAATCGTCAATAATTCGCTTCAAAGATGTGTTCTTAGATGGGTGGCGGCATACAGGAAGGGAGTACGTGTAAATGTGTGCTTTTTTATAGTCTATATATTTTTGCTCAGGGCTCACTTTGCCAATGACATATCTCAATAAATAAGGGTCATTGGCCTGAAACGTCACCTATTATATAGTTTTGCATTTTAAGGCCAAGTTTTTAATGTATGTATGTTGAACTTCTACGTAGCCAACCGAGCTAATAGGTGGTGGCGGATGTGTTGAAGGTGTTGAGTTTTGATTTAATGTCTCCATGGACTATCAGAGTCCAAAAATTCCTGCCCACGATCACAAATCCGCATGAATGCACCCCAGTCTTGTCAGATCTCAGAAGCTACACAGGGTTGAGCTTGGTTAGGACTTGCATGGAAGACTGCCTGTGCATGCCAGGTGTGGTAGGTTTGGGCTGCAAGATGAACAAGATATACAACACAGCATTGGATTCTTGAATCTATCTGTGTTGGGTTTCCTACCATGTGCCAAACATTAACGGAAGAGACCACGGCCATGGGAAACGCCTTGAGACGTGGTAAGGATTTCCTGTGTAAATATAGGGCATTGTTAACATACCCCTATAAAATCGGCACATCAAATAGCAATACTTATGCATGTTGATGCTACTAAAACCCCAAAATTGTAAAAAAATATACATCTAAAATCGGAATATTTATTTATACCAGAGGAATCTGATGAGCTATGAAGCTTTTTTTCACAGATGTCCAGTCGGGGCGGGTCAGAAAGTTACAACAACAAACAATACAAAAACACGATAGGAGTGCAAAGTAAAGGAAATGCAAGCAAATCACACAAAAGAGTCATAATAAAAAAAAGGTTACTCGTTCCCACAATAATAATTTGAATTTAATATAGCCGCTAACACTAGCATGTGAATATGTTGTACAAGACAGCCATGTACCGTTAACTCTAGATTATCTGTGGGCAGATTATAATCAGATTATAATCACAGATGGTAGGAAACCCAACAGATAGATTCAGATTATAATCTGCCCATAGATTATAATCTGTGTTATGGATTAACAGAGCTTACACAAAATACAAAAGAAGGATTGTTGTACACATGCTGTTTTGAATATGAGCTGCTCCTCACTCGTAGAGGGTCCATGACTGAGTGCACACGTGACAGCAAACACATCGGCAAGTAAAACTTGATTACTTTCAAAAGCCATGAAAACATATGGCACAATCTACCTATTCGCACACAGTCTTTGTGGGTGAGTAATACAGACATTTGTATAGCCTGATTTACATGTGCTTTGTCTTATCCACGGTTGTTTTATCTGGGCCACCACCGACTCTTTCCAATTACCCCTCCCACCCACCCCGTATAAACAAAAGTTGACTGTAAACGTAAGCAGCTCATTCAGAAGAAAAAAATCTTACTAAATCCAAATAAACACATGGGCTTGGGTGGATTGAGCAGTGGGCCCTGTGTAAAGCAGTTTCAACCACGTGACCCCAGCGAGACTTTAATTTAATCTGTCACGAGTGAGGAAACAGGTTATGCAACCAGGAATGAAGCAGGGGATGAAATCCTGAACCAGAAGTCGAAATTCCATGTTCCAATTTGCAGGGACAATTTTTTTCCACGGGATATTCACAACTATATATTTATGCGACGGGAGAAGTCGAAGCCATCCGGCCATCTCTAAAGGTTTTTATGTAGACACCGGTCGGAACCACGAAAAACAACAACCGCCAATCGCCACTAAGTGGCGGTGAAGTCGGCATGGTGCTTGTGCCAGGCAATGTGCACTGTAAGGCCACGTGAAGTGTCGAACGCCTCCGCTGCCAGGAGGTCACGGGACAGACCCAGGTGCCATGGGTTGCCTGACTGAGATGACTGGCAGAATACCTCATCAGCCACATCTCATCTGTCGTCAACACAGAAGTTCCATGTAAGCACGGATAAGTCTTGCTAGCGTGTAGACATCGGGTGTTGGAGCTTTTCCGCAGAGCTACGTTGTAGGCAGCAGAGGGGAGTGCAGCCAAAAATCTTGTTGTACTGTACATCTATGATCCCTTTCTTCACCAATCGGTGGTGCTGACCAGCGAGGTGAAATATCCTCAAATAAGCCCCTTAGCCTGCATGGCATGGGGGGGGGGCCCTCCATCCAGTGGTGGATTGACGAGCGCATGTTAGTGGAACTGTGCAGAGTGCCCGCAAATAATTGCGTGCAGCTATGAAAGAAGAAGCACCTTGCATGCATTTGGTGTAATAAAAAAATAAACCCGCAACAGTGATTTAGAGGACGCACAGTGGCTGTGAGATTGGTATTTTTCATTTCTAATTACACCGCGTAATTGTAATTTTAGATCCCAACTTGTATACATCATCCCTATCCAGTAGTGGACTGACAACGGGGTTGTACACGTACGAGCTTGGCAGCGATGAAAAAAAGCCCGCCGTATGATGAGCACGGACACAACCTGGGCTTTGTCTCGGCGAAGATTCATCGATGAGCCGAGAGGAAGGGGAAAGTGAGCTGAGCGGAGGTGGAAGGTGAGCTGAGGGGAGGGGTCTGTGTGGGGAGAGGAGGAGGGGACGGTACCTTGTTGGCGTGGCGGAGGATGGGCGGTGCGGGCGACGCGTCTGAGCTGTGCTCACTGTCGCTGAGCTCGCTGGACCTGCAGAACGTCCGCACGGCCACCCGTTACGCACTCGAGATTAGCGAGTGCTTCAATGCTGTCTACACTCTTGAGTGCCCGGCTCAAGCGACCGGCCTCTCGCTTGCTCACGCAATCGCATAAAGCTCTTTTGCCTCTACGGACGATCACATTTTCACTAAATCACCAGCAGAATCGTGCCAGATCTCCGAAGCCAAGCAGGTTTGAGCCCGGAGAGTGCTTGAATGGGTGAGCACTGCACATGCTAAGTTGTCATAGACTGCTGCATGGCTAAGTGGTGGACAGCAGAGGGACGTGCTGTAAAATCCTTCAGAACTTTACCAAATGCGACCCGACTGGTCCGGTGAAATCAGCCCTGTGACCCGCATCGATGTAGGGAAGCCCTCATCCAGCAGTGGATCGACAAATGGGCTAAGCATATGCATATCATTTCAATATATGCGAATCATATGTAAATTTTATGCAAGTGTTCCATTTGGCCTAATGGCGCAATCAAAAGCTACGGAAGGCGAAAGGGTACAGACTCGGCAGTGAAAACTTGAACAATAAATGTTTAATTCTTGAATTGAACTGGGAAGAGTGACGATTAACTGAATCATCATGTGGGGGGGTGGGAGTAAATGGCGAGTTTCCTCGGCCTTACTACCTCTGATCACATTCCCATGACAGCAGCTCCCTTATCACGCCGCTATGCACACCCTCAAAACGTTTTTGTTGCCTATGGTCTGTGTACCGGAGGCCGGACCGCTAGTGCCTTGCACATGTTAGCAAATTGAGCCAACCGTGTCAAAATTCTGGCTTTGCATCCCAGGCTCTTGCGTGAGATTTACATCAGGCTGTCAAATTGACTCCATCGAGCGTCGCATCAGGTCAACCCGGTCTCTTAATAAAACCAATCCATGCACCCCTGTTAAATCAAACCATCACGATCAAATGATCAGCATGTTTCGAATGTGCCGCATTGTTTTAGTGCAAGGATATCATGAAAGTGCTACGTTTCACAGATGGGTACAGTTTGCCCGTCGGGGAAAATTCTGCTGTGTTGTTTTCAAGATCGTAATTTCAATTACGTAACTTGGGAGTATATTTCAAATGTGTACATTCTAGACGTGGTTCCGGCACACATCCTATCCGCTTACAAATAATGTCACGGGATCTTTGGCTTGCACCGTGAAGCGGACTGCATGTATTTATGCTGATACACCCGTAGTGTTAACCAGGGTGGCCTGCCGGAATTCGAGCCACAAACTTCTGCAACAAACGGCAAAACGCGCTCCCGCTTGGCCATTTCACTTGCCCAACAGCTTGCCTGGCACGGGTTTCCCTGGAACGCACAGAGTGGATGGATTGCGATGGTCGTGGGCAGTGGTACCTGGAACTTTTAGGCGCGGAGGGCGGCTCCTGTTCGTCCTCGCTGGGGCTGACGCTGAGTGGCTCCGGAAACGAACGCTCCGACTGGGCTGAAATTGGGGTGGACGGAGGGCGATAGGTGGAGGGGGGGGGAGGATGATAGGGCAGCGTTTTTTGGCAAACCATCGAACAAAGACGGTCACTGCCTCGCGCACTTTCAGATGCGCTTCTGCGGCCGTCTGGAACGCTCTGCCTTCCGATATTAGGAAACCACTTGAGCTATATGCACTTTTAATCATCATCTAGATTGAAAACTAATATCTTTAGAACTGATTTTTGTGTTTAGTAGTTTTGTTGTCCTTCCCCCACACCTCCGATTATCGCGGTTGGTTACATTCGGTGCGAAAGAAGTTCAACGTACATACATATACAAGCAGGATATCCGAGGGTGACTGTGGGCAGTGGACGGTGAACTGAGGCAAGAGAGAGTCGTGTGAACGCAGTGGGAGGAGGCAATTTAAGAAATCCAACTTGTACGTTTCGTGATAACAAAAATATAAAAGGGCTGAAAGGAAATTGAGGCGTTTATCGCCAGAAAGGAAATTACATTTGTCCATTGAGCTACAGTTATTAAAGACGAGCGTTTACCGATTTCAACATTGTATATGCGGGTCGGTGTATGAACAAGTATGGATATGAGACGTAAAGTGTATGCGAGTATATAGATTTTACCATGTAAGGCCCACTGAGCAGCCTGGCCACAAAAGGTTGCTCAACGAAGTGGCTTATCATGTGGAAATTTAGAGCATGTTTCTAAATGCGGAGGGAAAAACCGGAGGGCCCAGAGAAAAATCCACGCGACCACGGGGAGAACATGCAAACTCCAAATATACAGTCGTCAGGGTCAGGATCGAACCCATGACCTCCTGTATACCAGGCGAGGTTGTTAACATCTCGCCTCTGCCGGCACCCATATGAAGGCACAGTCGCGTGTGGGTAGGTATATTGTGATTTCTGTGTGCGGGGACTTTCGTGCGGTGTATGCAGGCGGCATGTATGTGTCCGTATATTGCAGGTATGTGGTCAGGTACGTTCATGCAGTGTGAGATCTACATAGACGGAGGTAGGTGCATCTAAGTGTATTTTGATGCGTGTAGGAATATTTAGGTATATGCGGGTATATCCGCTGCAGACAGATATATGTAGATGACGAGGGTATATTCATACGTATTAAACATATACATACGTATTTGCAAGTGTATACGGATATACGTAGGTGTATGCAGATGTACGGATGAAGTTTATTTTGTTTAAGCAGGTGAGAACTCAAGGTACGAGAAAAGTGACGTGGGTTACCGCAACGACAAACACTAAAATAAATAAATAAATAGCAAACGTGGCAAACACAACTGCGCCAACATGAGCAATATAAAACATTGCGCAAACGAAAATCAATGTTCAACAAAACATTCCCAGCGCAAGTTGGCTAGGGAAGATGATGTCTCCATTGATCCAAGTAGGGTAGCAAACAAGGTGCGGTTTTACCTGGTTCAGGAGCAGCTCCATGCGATATGGAGGACGCGCCACTGGCTACGCTCGCAGGCCTTTCCTACAAAACAACGGTGAGAATTACACCACAACACTCACTGTGTTAATACACAGCACTCACTCTGTGTTACTACACAACACTCACTCTATATTCTTGGCTCTTTCGGTAAAGTCACGTAGAAGGGAAATAATAAAATAATATAAATACAATACAAAAAACAATACAAATTCTCACGACGTTTCGACTGCAACACAAGCAATCGTCATCAGGTGTGAAATCCACTCTGCGTTACTACACAACACTCACTCTGTGTTACTACACAGCACTCACTCTGTGTTACTACACAAGACTGTGTTACTACACAACACTCACTCTGTGTTACTACACAACACTCACTCTGTGTTACTACACAAGACTGTGTTACTACACAACACTCACTCTGTGTTACTACACAACACTCACTATGTATACTACACAACACTCACTCTGTGTTACTACACAGCACTCACTCTGTGTTACTACACAAGACTGTGTTACTACACAACACTCACTCTGTGTTACTACACAACACTCACTCTGTGTTACTACACAGCACTCTGTGTTACTACACAAGACTCTGTGTTACTACACAACGCTCACTCTGTGTTACTACAACACTCTGTATTACTACACAAGACTCTGTGTTACTACACAACGCTCACTCTGTGTTACTACAACACTCTGTGTTACTACACAAGACTGTGTTACTACACAAGACTCGTGTTACTACACAAGACTCTGTTACTACGCAACGCTCACTCTGTGTTACTACAACACTCTGTATTACTACACAAGACGCGGGTTAGCATTACCGCATCACGCCCGCTTCAGCACGACACTCACTCGGCATGACGGCACAGCACACTCAGCATTACTTTCATGCTCTCAGTAATACCGTCATACGTGCGCGTAGTACCTAATCGCTGTGATCATCTGCGACATTGTGAAGCAGGCAGCGTGTATTTTATGCTTAATACACCATCGCTATTAACCAGGGCAGCCTGTCGGAATAGAACCACAAACTTTTGCAACTAGCGGTGAAAGTGCTTCCGTTCGGCCAGGTCAACCATCCTATTCGTCCAGCCATATGAAAGACGATGACCGGATGGTACCTAATTTATCCACCCTGGTGGATTGTTGATGGTGGGATGAGTCGACCACAAACAATATTTGAATGAATGCCTTTAACGTCGGCAGTGTGATTACGTACAAACTAACTGGGACTTATCATGGATATAAGAATATATCGATGTTGGAATTGGGAAGAATGACAGGTAAATAAATTGTCGTGGCTGATGCATGAACACGTACGGGACAAAGACTGGAACTTCTAATCTTAAACGTCTCCGGGAAGACTTGCAGATTTCTCAGGCCAGCTATCTTGAAAAGAGGACGATCCTGGAAAAATCCAGAGCAGTTGGCGGCCCGAAGCTTGATGCTCTCGCAAATAAGTTATCCAAACTCATTGCCAATATTACGGCGTATTTTTGTGTTCCCTATCGTATGATAAAACACAGATGAGCAGACATTGTAGCAATTACTCCAACTCTTAACTGTTCAGCATATGATTGGCATGGTTGGCTACATAAGTGCAAAACAAGTTAAACATACATACATATACCAATTCATGCACACCAGACATGAAAAATATAAATGACACCAAGTAAATAAATATTCAAACGAAACTCATTTCGTGCAGGCTATTCCTTTCGGTCCTTTCGACGAGTTTTTTCTGCTCCCCTTTGAATTCTCAAAACCCGAGGCTGCACAGCGCAGTGAGGGACGTGGGATTTACTCTTTCCCACAAACTTTGTAGACTTTAAACGGTTATCAAAGCTGCGCTTACGACCGATCGAGAGAGCCAGTATTTCCTTTCCACCACCAGGGCAGCATGACCCAGACTTGGAAGCCACTTCACTTTGCATGTCACAGATGGATGACAGATACTCATACTCCAGCACCTGAGATATAAATTCAGTCAAAATTTAGGGGGCCACTTTTCATTACGTTTTTTTTTTAAACGCTTTTATACAAAAAATGTATCATTATTTTCGCTCTGCCACGTACTCACACCACCCCATGACCTCTCGACCTGCTACCCCCCCCCCGCCCCCCCTGGCCTCTTAATTTAAACGTTTGTCTGGATCAAAGCGAGGTGTGCAATATCAATCAACATGTTTGGCTCTGTCAATAGAAATGTGAGGAGCACAAGGTGTTTCGAAGATGGACGGAGAGATATTATGTCACTTGGGCTTCAGTGAAATGATGTGTTGTTTCATGGCAATTGACAGTTGCACTCTACGTAATCAAGATCAACATTTGCTGGGTAATAAACTATTATTTTACTGTCGCATTCCTGACTACTCCGTACTGTAATAGATCTTAAGACTAATAGCATATTTAGTAACGTAGGCTACCTGTGTAATGCAGAGGCAGAGTGCTTTAGCTTACCGGAAAACACCGAAGCCAATCTGTCATTTCATATCTGTTTCTAATCAGCCAATTCAACCCATTGTTACAAAGTTATCTAAATGAGTATCATTATTTAAGGCACCGTTCAATTCCCATAATAAACCCAACAATGACACATTAATGAGCTCCTAAACAATAATAGCTACAATTCATTTAAATTGCATCGTTTATCTAATTTTCAGAAAGGTCTTTCATAGGGATGTTTGGCCAGGTCCATGAACGGGCATGGCTTGCGGGAGGAAACACGAATAACTGAAGAACACCCAGCCACGCGAGGGGGTAACACTCAAGAGCTGCGCACACAGACGTAATAAAAAACACCCACTGCACTACGGACCATCTTCTGGCAGCCACCTGGGGGCCCAAGCAAGTGAACCGGTAAGCGTCCAGCGCATTCAGCCACTCACGTCGGTCGCTAGCGACAGCTCGTCGTCCGAGTCTCCTGGGTCCAGCACGTCGCCCGGCGGCGACAGTGCCGGCGGCACCACCACCGGCGGCGCCACCTTCCTCTCCGTCACCACCACCTCCTTGTCCGCCTTCCTATGAGCCTTGGCGTTTGGCGTCACCTCCACCCTGCCATCTCTGTCCTTGGGAACGCCTCTGTCTGGTTGCTGTCGGTCAGAGATGGCTGCGGCGGTGGTCGTGGTGGCGGCGGCGGCGGCAGTGGAATTCAGTTTGTCCTTGGCCTTGGATATCCGCTCCGCGGGCGGCTCCCTGTCTGCCGGCGCCGTCTTGTCTCTGAGCCTGCTGTGCGATTTGCCGTGCGGTTTGCTGGCCGGGCCCACATCCTCGTGTTTCTTGCGCCACGTCTTGTCCCGCGCTCGCTCCTCGGCGGGAACCGGCGCAATGGCCGCCGGTACTGCCACCGGGACTGCCGCCGGCGCTGCCGCCGGCGCTGCCGGTGCCGCCGCCGTCATCTTACCCTTCGCCCGCACGCCATCCATGTCTCCACCCTTCGAGGGCCTCTCCTTGGGCACCGCCTTCTCCGCAGCGGCGGCGGAGGCAGAGGCGGTAGCAGCTGGGACAGTAACAGCGGAGGCAGACGAAGCGGAGGAAGATGACGACGACGAGGAAGAAGAGGACGAGGACGAGACTGATGCCCACTGCCTGGACGACACGTCCGTGGGCGGCTTCTTCGCTCTCTTCGCGTCCAGTTTGTCGTCGAGGGTCGTGCGCGAGCGCTTTGGCGCCGGCTTTGGCTCGCGGCTCTCCGCGGCGACGGGCGTCGGTTCCGCCACTTCGCTGACGTCCGACCGGTCCCTCTTCGACAAGGCCTTGGGCTCCTTGGAGGGGGCTTTGGGCAGCGGAGTGACCGGGGGTGGCGGCTGCGGCTCGTCCCGGGGCTTGTGCAGCCTGGCGGTTGCCGCCTTCTTGGCGCTTTCCCTGGAGGGGCCATCGCTGGGGGCTGGCGCTTTGTAATCCTTGCTCTCCGATGGCTTCTCCTTGTGGCCCTTGAAGGGCTTGGGCGGTTTCAGGGAAGCGATCGGCTTGCTGAAATCCTTCAAGAGTGAGAGAGAAGACGGAGAGACGTGCGTATTAGCAACTTGGTTTAACCGCACGACAGCCCAGTGAGATTCGTGATCTGATTCTGCAAGGTACTAAAAAGTACAGTATAATACAGCCCATAACAGAACTGCTCCTATGTATTCAGAATTTAATGATCTTTGCAATTCGATATGTATTATTTTAAACTAGCACTGCCAACACATTTGCATGGGATATAACTTAAGTGAATTACAAGCAATATAGATATCTTGCGAATTGCCAATGACACTTGCTTGCCTATTTTCAATTAACATCAACAACATCACTAATTACTTTTGAATAATTACACAAACCCAAACTCCCAATATACAAACTCAACTCCAGATATTATAACATCAGAAAACTTTCTTGATGCCACGTAAACATTTAACATAACTGAGAACCTCAATTAAACATTACAACTGCAGCTAATAATGGGTTTGCTTGATGGGTTATTTAATGACACAATTCGTAATGTAATTACATACATTATCACCACCAAATGAAGGGCAAATACTTGCAGTAATTGGGAGAGAGGGAGATTAGTGGATAACCACAATAATCATGTTGTGACCACATGAACAATCCTTTTTCTCTACAATTACTAGGATAACCACAAGTAAATAAAATATATATTCTGGAAGTTACAGTAGAACAATTAACCAATGAATTGTAAACCAAATAAATCCTTGCACTCACGCTAACAGATTGAATCGTGTGAGCAAGCATATATATTATGTTTTAATCTACGCACATCCATCCTTTAGGGTAATGGTGGAAGAAACAAGGCAGTAGGAGGTACGAGCTAGAGCAAAACAATGAGCACACAACAAATGAGACAGACAATAGAGAAACATCTTCTTGGTTCTTTCGGTAAAGTCACGTAGAAGGGAAAAAAAAACATAATAAATGTTTAATTTAAACATAATAAAATGTAAAAAAATGTGTATTTTATTATTTCCCTTCTACGTGACTTTACCGAAAGAACCAAGAAGATGAATCCCTGCAGTCACGAAAGCTTTAAATCGAAATAGAGAAACAATACACATAGTACAAATGATACAAACGAGACAGTACAGAAACAGCTTGAGAGCTAACAAGCATGAACAGCAACTGGCACAAACGAGACAGCACCAACTAAATAGACCATGGAATTGAGAACAGACCAAACGAGACTGTACAAACAAGGCAAGCAGTGTAAACAAAAATAATAAATATATATTTGTAGCAAGCACAGTATCCTTTCTACTTGCTTAGCGAGAGAACGATTCAAAAGCACGGAAAACCACAGACTAGCGGGTACGCAGCCACAACCGGCACCGACAATTGCCCAAGCACTGGGGGTCCTACATCGACGTGTATGGCCAACTCTTAAAGGCAGACGGGACACAACTGCTACACAAGCATCAAGAGAAAAAAGACGACGCAGTACAGAGGAGACCGGGCAGCAGAGAGACAAGAGAAGGCATACAGTAGACATACAGTACAGAGGGGCGACAGACAGTTCAAACAAAAGAGATCAATGATTCAATTCAACCGTGGCCCTAAATCTGACAAGTCATTGATTAGCGTAGGACAAGTCATTATATGCCCAGCAGCTATGGCATGCGCCGGGTGCATGCACTGCATTATGACGAACGTGACACATGGGTTCAGTTCCAGGCCATGAAACTCATTCATCGCTAGTCTCCAATCAGAAGAATAATTACATACCAGCTCGAAGTCGCTGACTCAACTGTCCAACAGTGCTCACCTCTCGCTAACTCTAACCCTCAACTTGGCCAGAACCTTGACCAGGAAACCACGATTGGTACCTTGACATGCAGCGAGGCGGGAGGCTTCCTGTGTTCCAGGTGGCTGGATGACGGCACCTCGGGAGGTGCAGAGAGCACTGCCATGCCGTCAGGTGACACCATCATCTGCAGGAAATACCAGTGGGACAGTCTTTTCACATCTGGGGTTATCGGTCCGATTCAATCACTTGGGGATTTAGTAATAGGGTTTTACCCTTTCAACTAGTACAAAAACTGACACCTTTATACAAGGGATCATGTTTGCAATAATCACAACACAAGCAGTCAAAATGCAAACAAAAAGAAACAACTCTGATGATGATAATGATATGCACTGTCCTTGAAGTTGATTGTGTTGTGGTTATTGCAAACATGATCCCTTGTATAAAGGTGTCAGTTTTTGTACCAGTTGAAAGGGTAAAAACCTATTACTATATTTTGCAACTGGTAAATGAGGTCTCATAATGTAAACACTTGGGGATTTTTGCTCGTATTTTTGTCCTCATTTTCATTCTGGCTGTGTTAACAGCATTATGCCGTGAGAGGGAGAATCAGAGCAGTGCATCGCCCGATGTTGGGCAACGGCCCGCAGAAGTAAATATTACAGAACTGCTTCTGAGATCGCATCTTGTGATTCATATCCACACTGGGGGTGGGCGGGCAGAACTTTTTCATCCATCCTGCCAGAGAAAAATGGTCAATATTTTTAATTCTCAGCGATCGAATTTAGATCAATTAAGTTTAATACCAAATTGTAATGCGATGGTTTTTGGTGCAGTCATTGTTGACCAGGCTGAGCCCATCAAATCATTGCACCTGTGACCTGTTTTTAATAACGGATGGCTGCACATATTCAAGCGTAGGTTCTCAGCAGTGCCACTGTAGTTCTAGATTTGAAGCTTTCGTGACTGCAATGATTCATACTCTTAGGTTTTTTCAGTAAAGTGACTTTACCGAAAAAACCTAAGAGTATGCCATTGTAGTGTTGAGATGCCTAGGCCACCTCGAAAAATATTTCTATTACTTTTGGTTTCTGTAAAAACATTAACATTCACTACCATCAAAATAATATCAAATGAGCAGAGGCTGTGTTTATGTCCTGCTATACAGCTCTGAGACGGTGCTGGAAGTTCCACATTGCTATGGCAGGTACGAGTGTTTATCCAGATAACCACTGTTGACTTCACCACAGAGATGTACTTATCTTACTTACCCAAGAGGAATGGATGGGCCAATTCAACCCCCAAAACATGATGTGAACTCGCATCATTCCAAATCACGAGCTGCTCGTTCTACCCGCTAAGCCATCTGGCCCGGTTTTCACTACCATAACCCGCGTGGGTATAACGCAGAATTATAATCTTGAATCTTTATTCATCCTGCAGAAATCCGATGAGCTATGAAGCTATTTTTCACAAATGTCCAGTAGGGGCGGGTCAGAAATTTACAACAGCAAATGATACAAAAAAACGATCGGAGTGCAAAGTGCAGGAAATGTAAGCAAATAACTCTAAATAAGCTAAAACTATTTTCATTTTACCAGGTAAAGCCCACTGAGCTATTAGTCATTTTTCAGAAGCGACCTGGCCACAGCAGTGGTTCCCAACCTTGTGGTTCCGCAAGGCTGTGCGAAATGGTTCGCGGAGCCGTTGCAAACACGATTCTTTTTTTTATAAAACACCAACGTTATTAACTGTACGGCGGTCTGCGAAATGTTTTTTGTGGGTTGGCAATATCCCGTGGGTTCTGAAGGGTTGAAAACCACTGCCGTAGAGTATGGGTTTTTTCCTTGATCTTTGAAACACTCTCCCAAGCAAAAAAAAACACTTAAAATGTAGTTCAAACATCTCGAGCAGTGCCCTGCTGAAATAGAATCTTAGACACTTGGTAACGATTCCTCATAAAATGAAGTATTATTTTCATTATACTGTACATTCTTAGCTCTAGGATGCTGCCCTGGGTTCAAGATATCCAGCATGATGTCTTTGGTTTACACATCACAAGACTCTTGCATGACCTTATACAAGACATCGAACATCTTATTAGATAAAGGGATCAATAATTCATCTTTTTTTGGAGCAAACACATTATTGGCTGTATGGGTCTCCCAGATGTGACCACTGGAAAACAGTAGCGCATATCAGGGCTGTAAATACAACGTTTTGGAGCCAGGGTTGGTGGCTCACACAGAGATCTTTGTGCATCTAAAGAACCCCAAAATGAGCTGCAAGGTAGCCGGCATATGGCTGTACAGCAAGTTGGTTCGTGAATAGGTTTGTGGTGAACCTTCAAAGTTTTGCTCCCGTTGCACACATGGTGGGGCTTTTCTCAGGGTACTCCGGATTATTCCCTCGTGCAAAAGCACTCCTTAAAAATTAACCCGTAAAAACAAAGTTTTTCACTATAAATCCTTTATATGCGTGGCGGCTAGAGTCCTCTCATCCTCTGGCTTGAGATGGCTGCCACCTATGGGTCAGATGATTGCCTGCCACCATTAAGCAATTGGTAATTAAATATAATTTATTTTTTCCTAAAAAGTGTAACATTTTGGAAAAAATTTTCACGAAAATTAATTGTCACGCACAACGAGTGTGTGGAAAATGTCAGCTCGATTGGATCACGGGAAGTGGGTTAAAAAACGACCGAAAGATTTGCACGGTCGTAAGCGCGCAAGCAAGCAAACTTAATATAAAGGATTAAAAAAGAAACTGGCCAAACGTTCCAAAGCGGGGCACGCCAGCAAAGAGTCTTGACGCCAAGTGAGGCTTTTGTGGGATAAATAAATAGCATTTCAATTACGTTAATTAGCCATGTCAAGTCTGGGTGCTAAAGCCAAATAAAGCACAACCACACTGAAGAGTTTATCATCGTCGGCTATGAGTAATTAATCCACTGCTGCACGAAAAACTGCCCAACCCATTGTAATCTCCCACTTTCCGGATGCAACAATCCACCTGGCACATACACACAAGTCTATTTCATCACTCCAACTCTTCAATTCCATCCCCTGGCTGCCAATCCGTCATTATCATTAACCATCAACCGTCATCTTTTATAATGGCGTGTCCTGCACCGCTTTTACTTTTCTGTTTCCTCCGTACGTTGTACTTTGCAACGATTTAAAATTGTAGCACAGACTGGTCTTTTTAACAGAGGAGTAATTTTCTAAAGGACTACAATGTGAGCTGTCACTCGATTAAACAAAGCAACTTTGCCCACATCTCAAAAGTCCTTTGTGACAATCAGTGGAACAGTTCTAGAATACCACTCTTTTGACGGCAAGTCTCACAATAAATGTCACCATACGCTTGTCTGTCAGGGTAGCAGACATTCAACACACATAAAATGAATGGTATACGCAGACACACACTGATTGGGCCGAAGTGATGTATATACAATATAGACATAGCACACTCGTGTATTTAAATATTTTCGGCTGGGCTTTAAAAACAGAACATGATATATATTTAAGTCCATACATTTAACAGGTGAGAATGCCACTACGTGTAGTACAAGAGTTACGAGAAGGGCTTACCAGCATTAACATATTGTGCGATAAGTAAATTAATCACGCTTTAAAACACAGCTGTATACAGTTTTCTAATCAGACTATATATGTGCATACACCATATTACTGTAAGATGATACGAGAAATGACATTCACACGACAGCATATCCCTTCTCGAATACTCGGCGACTTAAACGAGTTTCACGCTAGGCCTTAAGCTTTCAACACAATAAGCCTCGGTGAGTCCACAAAGCAATAACAGTAAGTGTGTTCGAAAAAAGACACACACGCACACACATACAAATACGTCTCAATCTGCATATGAAGCAAATATAAACTCGGCGCACTTTTGAAAACACGTCAATCAACAAAAACTAAAAGGTTTAGTGTGTACGGCGTACTTACATTACATCGAACGTGTCTATCATCTGCACCGAGTACTGCCAGCCGTGCGGACCGTCAACATAACCCGTGAATGATTAACGGTCGAGCAGATGCGTGTGACTGCGCGCATGTGTGCGCGCGCTGGCTGAGCTCCCTGTGCCACGTGGTGCGGGTACGTCCACGTGGAACTCGGGGGGAAAAGTAAAAGGGTACGGAGCAAAGCGCTCGTTGGCCGAAAACAACGTGGAAAAAAAAAAGACGCGCGTGTACTCGCACTGCATGACCACGCGCCGCCGTCGCCACAAATGTCGGTGGGGAAAATCCCGCCGGGTTCCCACACAACTGTCTAACCCCGCACGCGATGATGCATGCGAAAGGAAACTTAGTGCCGACGTATTAAAATAACTCGGATATAACTGGCCGGGTGGTTTCGAAGACTGTCAAAGCCACCGAGAGGGAACTACAAGTATTCCGGGTTTGAATCCGGGTTTCAGCCATCCCGTGTATAAGATTGGGTCATCAAGCCCAGCGAGTGGATGGTCTCGTTCGGATTACCGATGACAAAAACTGAGGGATGTGACGTCGACTTGATTTATGGATGAAAACAGATTATTATGCTCAGGATACATGCCAATGAATCAAGCGTGTGAAATTCACCACTCCCGACTAGGATGTAAACATTCATTTCATAGATGAATATTTTTATTTCAAGACTCGTGCCTGATACGTGCCTAGTATCCTCTGCTGCCCGTTTAGTCTGGAAGTTCCTTCACCCAAGCATCTGTGCTATTGACTCCCTAGTCCTTGTTCAAGTCCAGGTTCAAGACCATCCTTTTTTCTTCTGCTTATGACTGTCTCTTTCTCTCTATAAAATAAGTATGCCTACTGTCCCACACAGCATCATGCACTGAGATGCTATATATATAAAATATATTTTCTCGAATAATAATCAAGATTTTAAAATTATTTGGCAAAACTATAAATACTGTATAGTAAATCTCCACATATAAGGCAAAGTTGTGAATGTGTGTGTCTGTTCAAAATGTTTAGCGTACTTCCCGACATGCAACAAGCTGCAAATTTTCCATGTGGGTACTTTCCAGACTGTACACCTGCAAAAATTATAAAAATACACTTTTTTTGTTGGGGGGGGGGGGGGAAGCTCAATAATGCTTATATTCTTTGAACGGCAATAGAGCTGTGACGTCAAATCTGTCACGTGACCCGCACACGTGGAAGCGCAACGCATTGTAGTGTAGTGGTTAGCGCGCTGCGCTACGAACCCGGCGATCCGAGTTCGATTCCCGCTCACGGCCACTACCGGTGACGATTATTTCTACCGCTCCGGGGCCTCCCCTAGGTCGACTCAGCCTCAAACGAGTAACTGCTGTGGTGTGTGAACATTGTCACTGGGGAGACAAAGGCGGCCGGGCGTGCTGCTGTCACCCACCCCCTCGTGTGCCGTGCCGGCCTTCATAGGTGCTCGCTAACAGCACTTGCCCCTATGGGCTACACGGGGGATTTTGTCTTTATCTTTGTGTGTGGGGGGGGGACTGCGTAGCGATTCGCGCGCTGCGCTACGAACCCGGCGACCCGAGTTCGATTCCCGCTCACGGCCACCACCACCGGTGACGATTATTTAAACCGGTCCTGGGCCTCCCCTAGGTCGACTTAGCCTCAGACAAGTAACTGCCGTGGTTTGTGAACATCACCACTTGGGAGACAAAAGCGGCCGGGCATGGTGGATCCAAGTCTCGGGCGAAGCCAGGTAGTACAGCTGGTAAAACATAAAATAAAGTTGCATGAAAAGTACAAAAAAAAATTCTGTTTTATTTCACGAACCTTGAGTCCTGATGCTGGCTTGCTTGAAGCAAGGGGCGTGCATGCATGGCGCGGGATGCTGGGACTAATCACATCTCGCGGAGGATTGCTCCGCCAAACAAAATAGTTCCGCGGTTCGGTTCGTCAGTACGACCGAACGTTCGCAAGTTGGACAGTTTAAAATAATTCTAGATTTGAAGCTTTCGTGACTGCAAGGATTCATATTCTTAGGTTTTTTCGGTAAAGTCACGTAGGTAAAAAATTCTAATTAATAAAAGTAAAAGAATTTTTTTTTTAAATCACGACGTTTCGGAGGCAACACAAGCTTCCGTCTTCAGGTGGAACCGTCACAGCATGATTGCTGTATCAAGTAAGAGAAATTCCAAGAAAATAAAAAATAATAACATCTTAAATTGGTTCGTTCGTAAGTGAGGACGTTCGTAAGTCGGACATTGATATCTCGGGGACTGCCTGTGGACTGCCTGTATACGCAAATAAGTGGGGATCCTGAGCAACATGTAAATATTAACAAATCAGAATATTTTCAGCAGTTGAATTCTACAGCAAGAGTAACAAAGTTAGAGGAGGGTGTGATCAAAGAAAACTCACAATTAAAATTTTCCATATGCATACTGAATGGCATCCTAGTGCAGGCATCATGGAAAATTACCAGAAAATCCTGATTACGAATACGCATAGCAACATTGCCCTCCAATGCAAAGCTACTACAGACTACGTTTGTGGAGTATATCCCCTCCACGATAGCCTTGCACTATGAGAATGCCCCGAATACCACATTTTAATTTAAATAACATGGGCTGTAAGGTTTGGTAGGTGACTGGAATGTCCTGTCATCTTCATGTATCACTTGGCCCTCAAAAAACAAGGGTTAGCTGGACCAGCTTACACTTATTCCGTGCAACTGGAATTATTTTAATAGTTAAACGCCACGTAATATCGGGGGAAATATCCAAGCACGCTGTCTGCAGTACAAATGCATGTTTAGCCAATAACGATGCATGGATTGATCTTCTTGGTTCTTTCGGTAAAGTCACGTAGAAGGGAAATAATAAAATAAATTTTATAATAAAAAAAGATTTTAAAATACATTTTATAATAAAAAATATTTTATTATTTCCCTTCTACGTGACTTTACCGAAAGAACCAAGAAGATGAATCCCTTCAGTCACGAAAGCTTTAAATCGAAAGATGCATGGATGCTTAAGCTCACGATGCCTACGTTGAATTAGGTGAATAAGAATGAAGATATTTAATTAGTTTATGTTCTATGCACTACTAGATGAACACAAAGTCAACAAAAAGACACAAGTGTGATGTTAACGCCTCTGATGTCATGTGCAAGATACGAAATCATATACATTTGATGGATTTCAGTTTCATCTACAACTTCAAAAATTGTGAAAATGCATTCTGAACAGTGTCACTTTATTTGTTGGCTCACCCTTGGCCAAACTGCCACGAGAGAACAACTGGCACTAAACTAATTAAGGGACTCATCTTCTTGGTTCTTTCGGTAAAGTCACGTAGAATGGAAATAATAAAATAATAAAAATTAAACATAATAAAATAATTCTCACGACGTTTTGACCACAATGCAAGCAGCCGTCCTCAGGTGAAGAACAGGTCTGTCGATAAGACAGTCTGAATGATAATTAAGGGTCCATGTTTGTTTGTGGAGTGACATACGACATCACTGTGTCGGGATTGTACGAGCGTAGGAACATATGACGTCACGACTGTGTTGGCTCGGTATGGGTGCTGTAGGCGGGTGTCACGGAGGTCATGTCAGGCCGTGAACCCAACAGGACACGTGACCGTACAAAGGAGGGGCTAGGGGCCCCAGGGGGGAGCTTGGGGGTCACGTGATTGGGGGCCCGGACCTTCCCGGAGGATCGAGAAGGGGGGCGTGGCCTGGGATGGGGCTGGCCACACCACGGGAGTTATAAGCGGGGTGTGAACAGAGCGCCGGGCTGTTCAACCCTGGGATAAAGATTCCATCAGCGGTCCTCGAGTCTCCGATCGTCGTTCGTGACCAGGCAGCCCGTCACCTGCCCTGGCCACGCTGTGTAGTACTCCCCGAGTGTTAGTGATATTAGGAACGGTGGTCTCCACCCTGTATATAGTGTTCACGTTGGTTGTTATGTGTTAATATATAGTGTTGCCTCCAAGTTGAGTGTGCGTCTAAATTGAACCTACTACATATGTGCGTGTGTGTGTTTTTTTATTGGAAGTGGTGGCTACAAATGCAGAACACCGAGTTGGATTGCTGGCCATGGCAAAAATCCGTGGCACATGGTGTCTTTCTGAATCTCCCCCTGGGTAAATTTCTGTCGTAAATCAGAAACCTAAAGCAGTGTATAAACATGACCAATGGGGACACAAAGGTGGCAGGGCTTTAGAAGGTTCTTACAAACAGCACTTGTCCCACTAGTCTCTAACGAGGTCGGATGGGTAAATATTTTTTGTTGTTGTGTGTGTACACAGCGTGCGTTCGTGTGCACAATTTAAATTTCTTAGAACACAGATTCAACGGAGTGATTTAGTAATGGCAGGGCAATGATGAATGCACGAGCGGTCCAATAATTCATTACAGCACTGAAAATTAACGTGATTATTTGATTACTTCTAAATTTAGATCACCCAATAATAATAATACTGTAAGCAGAAGATATTGATCAACTGCGAGGCTGTGAGATTTCCTTAGGCCACATTTGCCTCCCAAAAGGAGCTGAAAGACACATCATCGGTCGTCGGCATGCAAGGGGGTAAACCCCCCCCCCGCACCCCCCCGTAGGCAGTGTTAATTTCGTGGGCGAAATTAGTTTTGAAAATATTCGTCACCAAAGTGATGTTTTGGTTTAGTGAACGATGTGACGAGGAGCGGACGAAAATCGTCACGAATGACGATGGCTACGACTGCTGTGATGAGACGAAATTAATGGGTTTGAATGAAGACAGAGACAGTTTAGTAGTATTATATTTGTACGTATGCTTAACTTCCATCGTACCGTACGTAGCCAAACGTGCGAATCAGAGGTGCATTGAGGAATACCTAAATTTGGTCATTTATTGTATATATACAGATTTTAAAAGAGCCGACTGGTTGGCTGACCTGATATTGGGGTGCCCTCATGCCAAAAGTGGACAAATGATCGACTGCCTTGATTGATTGACTCAATTAAATCCACAGACTAAAAACTGCTTTTTGTGTTTAGTTTGTTTCTAGATTTGAAGCTTTCGTGACTGCAAGGAATCACACTCGTGACAGTCCCACCTGATGACGGAGACTTGTGTTGCCTCCGAAACGTCGTGACTTATTATTTTATTTCTATTATCATTATTTTTACCTACGTGACTTTACCAAAAAAACTTAAGAGTTTAGTTTGTTGTCCGTCCCCTACACCTCCGAGTTGGCTACGTAGGGTGCGAAAGAAGTTCAACATACGTGCATACACACACGACTTATACTCCACAGGGTGTCAACAACCAGACGAAGCCTGTGACTAAATCCAACTGGACATCTGTAAAAAACAGAGCTTCTTAGCTCGTCGGCTTTCTCCAGGATAAAAAAAAAAAATTCGATTCTGGAATTAACACACAGCTGATTAAATCAACACTGGTCAGAGACGACCAGCCGCTCCGCTCACTCACCCCGCCAGCCTTGAGCAGTCGCCTGCGGAAGTCACTGGGCGGGTTGCTGAACGTGAGCTTCTCGCAGCGCAGGTGATTCACGGGTGGCTGCCCCTCCAGGTGTAGGAAGAGGTCATAGTCAAACTTGACCTTTCGCGGTTCCTCCTGTTGGTAAATCATGCGGTCAAGGGTCAGGGTGCGCTCAACACCGACGCATTCTCGCGCAAGGGTCAGGACGGATGGACAACGGACGAATGAAGTGACGGACCGATGAACATATGCACAGGCCTAAGGATATTCTTTCGTAGTTTCGAATGCACAAGCCTAAGTTTGTCTTAGACATCACAGCAGAGTTTGTCAAAGTTTGGGTGGTGGCGCAGTGGATAGTGCTATGCGATATAAACCTAGTGACCCGAGCTTGATGTCGGGCTATGGCTTCACTAAATTGAATTGATCAGCGAGGTGAAGTATGGTTAGACAAGCTCCATGACTGACAGTGTGGGGAGACCCTCATCCAGCAGTGGATTTACAACAGGCTGTAAATTATTGTTTTATCGAGTTTATCACTTACACATTTAAACCATTTAGGTGTAACACATGCCTCCATCAGGGTGCTATGTTCTACGTCAAAAGTTATTTCGACCAAAATGTTTTTTGTAAATGGAATATTGCATCCCTTCTATGATTAAAAACTCTCCTTTGGTCGACAGACTTTAATGGGCAATGTACTTGTTGCTTGATCAATATGAATTTCAGTGCTTTGAATAATGTCCTACACCTCATGTACAAAATATATTTTACTGAAATATTGACTTCTGTTCCTTTATATTTGTTATTCCTGCTTACAATATTTGAGTGTATTTAAGCAAAGGGTATACCTTTGTTATTGCCCATACATAGGACTCCACTGAAAGAGAGGATTATTTTCAATGGGCTCTCTCACCTGACTTGATATAAAATAATGAATGAATGGCACTTCTAACTGGCGGTCGATGACACCAAGAGACATACAGACAGAGGACAGGGAAATACGTGACACGTTCAAGGGCTGATTTATAAGGGCAGCCAAATGATGCGCTATGGACGACTGGAGCCAGAAGATGGATGCACCTAGGGTGGAAGCATTGTCACACAGATGGACGCCTGATAGATTAATTAAAGGAGGAATTTGCCGTACACGCGACGGACGGATGATTGCACACGGATGGATGTGAGTGATGAAAGAACGGGCTGCCCGAGCTTGATGGATGGACCGCTACGGATGAGGGTTTGATCAACGACCAGGCTGTGGATTGATTCAAGGGGATTAATGAATGGGCCAATTATTGGCCGAAGCACGCGACAAAATACCTGGGGCTCGAGCGACAGATCTAAGGCACGATCGCAAACACAACCCTCAAGACGTTGCGGCTGTTAATTTGAAATCACGATGCACTAGGGCTCACACACCGCAACGAGGCTGCATAAGACCGTGGCTAAACCACGCATGCATTCCGCAAGGCAAAACCAGCAATTACCCGGCGAGTGCAAATTACACAAGAACGTGAGCTGAACGCAGACAGTGCTGCAGTCGCTTATCCACACAGTGGCGTTCCTTGCTTCACGAACACTTGGAGCCGCAGCCCTGGTTCACCGGGAAGCGCTTCTGAGGTGAAAGCAAGAAGCACTCTCGTCGATCAGCGGGTGCAGAAGCGCTTTTTCTGATCACAGAAGGCGTACGTTTGTCCAGATTCACGACAACTGGCATAACTTCCGCTGGTTCGCGTTGCTGGGAGGTAACCATCCCACGCGTGAAAAACGTGTGCCGATTTCACTTGGGAATACGAGCGGAGACGTGGTTGCTCGTTGGAAGTTATTATTAGTATTTCCATCTGTGTCATACCTTGTTCTTGAAGTAGACTTCGATGGGAAGTATGAAGCCAGCGTAGCCCGATTCTTCCACCTTGTAAGGGGGTTCCCGGCACACTGTTCATGAGATTGACAGACGGATACAGAACGCACACGTGCACCCACGCAAACACGTGTTTACTGATGCACGTCCACTCAGAACACAGTTGCGCAAAAGCAGGCAAAATGCGCCAAGCCAAAATGCATTAGCGATGGCCACTATTCAATATATTTCTCTTTAAAGGTTACAATTATTTTTTGTAATGGGAAGGGGATTTTTTGGGAGTGCCGTTTCCCTGGAGACAAAGCCACAACCGTGTGCTTGTGTCTCATTCATTTAGCCGTCATTCACGGCCAGCTAATTATTTTGAACACCCGAGAATTTAAATGCATCAGGCAACGACGCATTCAGCCGTAGAACAGTCAAGACGGACGGCAAAAACAGCACCGATGCACGTCCGTAGCCACGGCAACACGCCGACGCAATCCAACCATCTCCGGCTCAGAAAAAATAAAAAGCCATTCATGTAATTTAATTGCATGTTTACTTACTCGTCCTATTTGCTTTGCTAATGCGACCGTTTATTTTCATAGCAGCAGAGCCCCACTTTGTGCATCTCCCGTTGTGTGTTTCTTTCTCTGCGGTGGCTTAAAACGCCTTTGTGTTAAAAGCGCCAATTTTTCTAAAACTGTGCTCCCTTTCTCCCTGTGCACAGACACGGTTTGTGAACGTCGCACCAAAGTACGAGTATTTCTCATGCGCCCACCTCGCTATGAAATGGAGCGAGAGATGATAAGTGAGAACACAGGAGACGCACAGATGCAGAGGAGGCTCGGTGATCAAGCGGAAGGGACAACATGAATCTCTGCCGGCGATGACATTTTCAGCGGTGTTTAATTCTTCGCAAGACTTTTCACCTGGGGTTAATGAACTGAAGGTCAAAGTAAACATAGCGGAAGGGCAGTCACTTCACACATGGCACCTTGGGATTCGAGACAAAAGGATCCCACCAAGCTCCACACTGGAATATATGGAAATGGAGCACAGTAATTACGGGTAAATATTTCAATTTGGGTGCCGAATGGGCATACAACGACCCACAATTCTTATAAAACTGCCACTGGATCTTTGCTTGCGGTCCTGAAAATAATCATTCCGAATATTATAATAGCTCTTTAAGAAACGACTGCTGGTTTCTTTTAAGAAACCACTGCTGGATGAAGGGCTCATCTCTGTGGGGGATGGCAATGGGAGTCGTTTGCCTACACCTCACCAAGTTAGTAAGTCCAGGTTGGTGAAAGGGTGCCCAGGATCAGTAAAGATATCCCCCAACACCGGTGTTAGCCATTGCCAGGAATCAGATTCAACAAACCGTGTGCTAACCACTGTGACACGACTCTTTAACCCGAACATATCAAACAGTTATTGGTCATTTGATGTACCAAGAGAATACCACTATCTGGGGTGCCAGAACAGACCACACAAGATTTCATGATGCAATGCCCGATCCACAAATACGAAGGAGACATCACAGCGAAAAACTCTCGCTGCTCCTAACGCAGTTCTCTGGGGCTTGACCGCCTGAACGTGAAATTGTAGCTGTCGCTCTGCATCTACATCAGCGTCCGTACAGAAGAAGAATAAGAAGAAAAAGGTGCCGAGGTTGGAATTTAAGTGGCAAACGCAAGACTGGAAGGAAGTGCATGCCGGGCGATCACAAGGGCACAGAGCCAGTACTTCTTGCACAATTAGTTCCTAAAAAAATAGAATTTCCACTTTAACGTTTTTAACAGACTGCCACTGCACACAAACTCGCCATCCATACTGTGGAATTTCCAAGTCACACACTTGCAAGCAAGTAACTTATGAGTAACCGCTTAAATAATGGTTGGCTAAATAGGTTGCTTTTTGTGAAGTAAAGAACCAATGTTTTATTGGCACTCACCCAGCCCCTCGGATATCTGAAATGTAACCACTGGTACCCATTCAAGGTAACATTTATTTCCAGGTAAAGTTAATGTTTTTCATTTCACATTCTTCTTTGAATAATTGTGGTTTATGAAAAAAAATGTTTGGAAATCAACAGCATGGGTAAACATTACATCCTTCCAAAAATATAATATTTTGAAAATAGCACTACAACAGGCCCTCTACAAGGTGTTTAGCCTACTCTTCCATGCTTGCCAGACATCTTGGAAGAGGTGGAAGTACCCACCACACGAACTTGCCAATCGACTAACTGCGGTGTGCCCACATCTCATGTTCGGGTGGACAGAGGCGGGAGGTTCTAGATTTGAAGTTTCCGTGACTGCAAGGATTCATACTCTTTGGTTTTTTCGGTAAAGTCACGTAGGTTAATTTTTTTTTTTATAAATTCAATCACGACGTTTCAGAGGCAACACAAGCTTCCATCTTCAGGTGGAACCGTTACAGTAATTTTGCTGTGACGGTTCCACCTGAAGACGGAAGCTTGTGTTGCCTCCGAAACGTCGTGATTTTATTTATTTAAAAAAAATTACCTACGTGACTTTACCGAAAAAAACAAAGAGTAAGTGGCGGGAGGATTCAAGAAACTTGCCCCCCCATTAAATCACCTGCCGCGCCGGAAGGCCCGAACTGAATCGGCGACCCATGGGATTACGAGTCGGGTCGAGTTCAGTGCGCTAAATGTTACAGGATGCAAGGTGTGGCTGTTAAAGAGAAACAACTAGATTCTTGTAAAATGTTAAGTGACTCAACAGATATCAATACATTTTAATTTTAAATAAACCGAGTCATCCTGAATGAAACCAGAGCAGTGAGGATGATTGCCTCGGCCAAGTCAACGATGATAACTGAGAAAGGCACATCCTAAACTTGCTAAATGCACTCAATGCAGTCAACACAGCACAACAGGGTTAGCAATGGCAGGTAAGCGAATGAATGACAATCAATCGATGGCTTTGATTGAACCGAGACCGCAATTTAGGTTAATTATCTCTTGCGCAATGGAGGCTCACGGACACTTAACCCACGTTTATATAGGGGATAGTTTGTTAAGTTAATGGGGTTTTTTTTACTCTCGAATTGTGACTTTCCCATATACATTTACAACCCTTTTATTAATCTACTGCAGGATTAGGGAATCCCATGGCCCCCTACGGGCAGACTAATGCCCCAGGTCACTATTGCAAATACGTGATCCTGTGTCTTTCGAGTTCTCACCTGGTTAAAAAAATAAACTTAAGTTTGCCTTGATTTGACCATACTTCACCACGCTGATCAGTGCAGGTTAGTGAAGTTGACAAACATAAACCTGTACGCATAGAAGTACAGCACAGCATTGCCCGCCTACAGCACCTGTTATTCATAGAAACACTATCCATGCTCAGGCCTGCCCCTGAGATATGAAAGTGATTTGGTCATAGTCCATTCAGACACTAAAACCGACTATACTCATACTCTTGGTTATTTCGGTAAAGTCACGTAGGTAAAGAAAAAAAAATAAAAGAAAAAAAAATAAGTCCGACTAATTAAAATACAAGGTAAAAAAAATAAGTCCGACTAATTAATGTTATATTGCAGGGTCTTTAACATCAAATTTCACATCAGACAGTGCTTTGGTAATAACTCACTGCATAAATAACCAGGAGACTACGGCTCTTAAAAGGTATGTAATAATATACCCTGCTGGAAAACGTAATGAATTGCTACAATTTTAAGGGTTGAAATAAAATTCAAGAATGATTATTTTCGTCACATATTCACCATCTCATTTGTGTTGCTCCTCTTTGTTGTTTGTATATTTGTTTTGCTCTTATAGCCTAAAAGTAATATGGGCGTATAATTTGCATAAATCCTAAATAATCAATTCTCCTTCGTACAACTCGGTGCATTCATACTGAGCATAAGAATCAATTGAAATGAATTGATGAATTATGACATACAAAGCATCAAACCATCGATTAGATACTGCTGAGTGGCCTAGTAACGAGTGGACTGCCCACTCGCAAATGATTGGTGTGACAGGACAGAACTTCAAGACAAAGTTCTATCAGAAACCACATGTGCAAGAAAAAAAAACTACGACACAAAATACCCTCCCCATCCTAATCAACGACAGCAACAATAAAAAAAAAACCATTGAGCCATCTTGAGCAATCATACCTCTGCGTCCTTCCGCACTGAGTAAATGGGAAGGAACCAAGACGGACTTCAACATTTCAGAATAAAGAATATTTCTATAGACTGGAGGAATCCGATGAGGTGAAACTCTTTTTTCAAGATGTCAACATTTAACATTCACCGCGAATACATCAGCGGCCTGTGAGCCAAACAGGCCATCGCGGTGGTTTTTAAGGATCAGGGGCGACACACGGTGGCGAGAAGTTAACTACCTCGCCTGGTTTCCCGGAGGTCGTGGATCCGGTCCCGACCCTGACGCCTGTATATTTGGAGTTTGCATGTTCTCCCCGTGGTCGTGTGGATTTTACTCCGGGTGCTCGCGGTTTTTTCCCTCCAAATTTAGACTCAACATGCATTTAGAGTATTTGGTTCCTATAAATGTCCATTTCGATTTTTCTCTGGGCCCTCCGGTTTTTCCCTCCGCATTTAGAAACATTCTATAAATTTCCACATGGTAAGCCACTTCGTTGAGCTATCTATTGTGACATCATGCACACTCATCACACCTTCTGAAAAAGAGCTACGTAGCTCAGTGGGGCCTTACCTGGTAAAATAGAAATAGTTTAGTGTTAAGTTTTACGAGTAACAGGCTTTGTGGGGCCGAGAGAGCAGCGCACAGCTTGGCAGCCGAGGCGCTGTTAATAACAGCGGTGAGCGGAAATGAACAGGGCTGGAGGTTTTTTCTTTTTTCTCTCAAACGCAGCGAGGCATTTATCAGATTGACGTTGATGCATGGACGCGGGGGCTGGCTGCGAGAGGTAACCTTTTAACGGGAAACACAAAGTGACAGCGTACACACTATATAAGCGAGTCCAATATAATGAGCCGGTGAGAATATTAATATTTAAATATTCCTAAGTCATACTTCTTGTGTCATTTCTCACTGTAAACTATGCATGTAGCCATGACTAGCTATCTGCTGAGGAGACTTGAATGACATCATGCACACTCATCACATCTACCTATCAAATATGACCACACACCCATTCATCAGATTCCACTATTCTATATCTATCATCTTCAGCCTTATTCTTGGTTCTTTCGGTAAAGTCACGTAGAAGGGAAATAATAAAATAAAAAATATATAAACCAATAAAATTCTCATGACGTTTCGACTGCAACACAAGCAATCATCATCAGGTGTGAAATCCACAGCAAATTTTCTTGCTGTGGATTTCACAAATTTTCTTGCTGTGGATTTCAAAAATTTTCTTGCTGTGGATTTCACACCTGATGATGATTGCTTGTGTTGCAGTCGAAACGTCGTGAGAATTTTATTGTTTTATATTTTTATTATTTTATTATTTCCCTTCTACGTGACTTTACCGAAAGAACCAAGAATATTAATCCCTGCAGTCACGAAAGCTTTAAATCAAAATCTTCAGCCTTACTTGTTGTTTGCCCACAAGCACAGGGCCTGGCAAAGAGATACAAATGTATATCGGTAGTAGGTTGGCACAGTGGCAAGGAGATCCTGGGTTTGATTGCCGACTCGGGTGCCTTCTGTGGTGAAGTGTGTATGTTCTTCCCATGTTCTGCAAGGCTTTCCTCCTGGTTCGCAATTTTTTTTTCTTTCCCATAGCTAAAGAGACATACAATTTAACTGGTAAGGACAAACGTTCCAATGCTGAAAAATGATCTGCAAATAGCTCAGTTGAGATTACACGTTGCAACATTGCCATCTTGTGAAACTTGTGACAGGACCCTCTAAAAAAAATATTGAGTGATGCTTTCTTCGGAAAACAAGCGTCATAATAAATCACAATAACTACCTCAGACCAGCAGATACTCAGGGCTATCTGTGCTATTTGTGGAAGTCATAACATAGCATAGCCCAGGCCAAGGTGGTTCAAGACATACTCGTGCATGTGACCACCCGATTGGATTCAAAGAGAGTTGTGATTAAAATAAAATGTGTGTGGAGTGAAGATGTAGTGGTTTGCATTCTGTTCTATGAACCCGGCAACACAAGTTCGATTCCCAGCCATGGCGAATATCAGTGTGAGAAATACTTTCTCCGCCCTTGAACATGCACACCAACCTGCTCTGATCAACATGATGAAGTATGGTCAAACGATCCCTGTGACTGAAATGGCTTCAGCAGGCCCTCATCCAGCAGTGGATTGACAAAAGGCTGTATAATGCATCAAGCTAGCAGAGCCCAAGAAGACCAGGGCTCAACTATCCGCTCAAAACTAGTCCACGCTGGATCGATCCAGCGTTCGCTAGTTAATCATAAACTATACCTCATAGGGAATGCAGGTGAGACTAAGCTAAAACTGTGAAATCTGGACCAGGGAAAGCCAGGCTGAGAGCGTAGAATTAGCTAGTCCAGCTTGCGATAGCCTAAAAGTCTAAAGTAAAAGTGATTTCCTACTGAAATGAGCAATGAGGCGGTGCGCTCATCTTCTGTGCATTGCAACCGAGTCAGATTTAGAAATTTAACATTTCTGGGAAAGGGTTGAGTCTATCCATTGAACGACCACTGTTGACTTCCACAACGAAGCAGAACTAATTTTGTATCAACCCAGGGGGTATGATGGGCTGGGTCAACCCCTCAACCACAATTTTCATGTGCAACCTTCTGATTGTTACTCGCTCAGCTGAGCCAGCTGATATTCTGGGGTAGGTTTGCAAAGAGGGCTGCGGTAACCAAGCTAAAGTCAGTGCAAACTTCGGCATTGAAGGCTGAGCTAATACAGCCTCGGCTCGTTCAGACTAAACTAATCCAGTATTTTTTCCAAATCAAGGCTTAGAGAGTTCAGGCCGATTGTTATCCCAGACAAAAAGATAGTCGAAGCTAAGTCAGTGCAAAAATTAGAGAATATAGAGATTGAGCTCGTCTAGGTTAGGGCTCGACAACCAAAGTAACAAGCGATTTTTTTGTAATTCGGTAAAAAAAATTCAAGCGCCGCAATGCATGTGAATGCGAGACGTGGACCTTAATAAATAAAGTCACGGAGCAGTCCTTGAAAGAGCCACATGCGGCTCTGGAGCCGCAGGCTGCCAACCCTTGGTCGAGGTTACGAGAGCATAGCTGTCAAACCCTTATCAGTGCCCATCTTATTACAGACCAAGTGAGACCTTATTGGTCACCCCGTGCCCCTTATAAATGTCAACGTTCATCCGACAAAGTCCTATCACAAGGGAGAAACACAAACAAATAGACAAAAAAAATGTATGTGCCCATATTGAAACGGCTGTACGTCGGATTGACCTCGAAACTCAATTTCCTTGTACAAGAATACGGGTAAACTGTATAGGTTGACAGGTATAAGAGAGTGAAGGCCATTGAGTTAAAACAAGTCCAAAGAGGTCCACGCTGAATGTTGCCCAGCCTAATATGGTCTAGGCTTTTCAACACATCGCAGCCTCGTTTAACACACAAGGCTCTCTGTGTTGGGACGCATGTTTGAGTATATTTAGTCTCTCAGAACGCTTTCGCCCAGCACTGTTGTGGACGTCTCCAGGAACATCTACAACACCCAAAAATGCTTGCAGCGGTGCGTGGTCAAATGTTGAGGCAGTAAATGCCCAACGTGTGCATCCCAACCCAGAAAACACCACCTTCATAGTCGAGGCTTAGTCAGCCCAAGTTTTAAGAATCCAGGCAAAGTTAGCCCAGTCAGAGATAGTTTCGGCTTATAGAACCCAACTAACACGGAATTGTATAGAAAAGTCTCTCATCTCGTGCCGCTTTAGCAAGTATGGAAGGGGTAGGGGAGCCTGGTTACAGCCCTGGATTTACTTTCATAAATGTAGCATTTTTTTTTGCCTGGCCTAGGCCAAGTCAGAACAGCTTTAGGTTTCGAGAATTTAAACCGAGTTAGTCCAGGTTTAGTGAGTGCAGGCAAGTTAGTCAAGGCTTATAGAGTTCGGACTGAGGGAGTCCACTTTTCAGGTGGCCGGGCTTGGGAGGCTCCTCACCTCGCTTGGGTTTGGCGAAGCTCTCGTGCAGGTGGAACACAACCTTCTCCACAAAGTGGTTGATGGCGGCGCCGTCGGGCCCGCGCACGGACACGCACCAGTCGTGCGTGAAGCCTTCGGGCGTGGGCCGGCGCCGTGCCGTCGCGCGGTGGCCCAGCTCCAGCTTCACCTGCACGGGGCCCACCTGCACCACCACACAGAGAGCATCATTCACTCGTAGTACAAACGAAACGAATCTGTTTAATAATAATAATAGTTAAATTTATAACGCGCGCAAATTTGCAGACGTAGTGGCCGCAACTCAGAGGCGCCGAGCCAAGCTCAGAGTCGCTCGAAAGCGTGATTGTAGAGGTGAGTTTATAAGTGTCTCTTGAAGGAGGCGATTGCGGTGATGCTGCGAATATGCAGAGGGATATCGTTCCAGACTGTTGGGGCTGCCACCGAGAAGCGGCGCATAGACATGACCATCCAGGATCTTGGTATCAAGACGAGGACATGCGTGTACGCATGTGTATTTAGTTGTGTGTGTATATGGGGAGCGGTAGTGCAGTGGTTAGCACACTGCGCTACGAACCCGGCGACTCGAGTTCGAATCCCGTTCATGGCCAAAACAAATGAGGATTATGTGAACCGGTCCTGAGCCTCCCCTAGGTCGACTCAGAAATTAGTACCTGGTGCGATCTGTAAACATCGCTACTCGGGAGACAAAGGCGCCGCCCCGGGTGTGGTGCTGGTTACCCACTCCCTCGTGTGCCAATGCTAGCCTTCATTGGTACTTGCTAACAGCACTTGCTCCAACATTATGTTAAGGCCATACAGGACATATTTGTCTTTGTACTTTTAAAAGTGTGCCTAGTCGGGTGACATCACCACCACTCCCCTTTTTCCACTGGCACATCCGAACAGTGCTAGAGAGCAGGGTTCTCACAGTATGGGTGGTTTTCCACTGGCAATTTGCTTTGCCGAGCTGGAAACCAAACTGTGACACACAGGCTTCACAACATATCTGAAAAGGTCAGGCGAAGCGCTCATGATGCATTCATTGTATGCGATGCCAGTGAGGACATTGTGAGGACGCAGCGTCACCACAACTTCGGACATGTGTCTCAACTCATTAATTTCAAGTGACGTATGTGGCATGGCTCTGCTTATGCAAAAGAAAAAAAAACTAACTGGTGCCTCCTGAGCCGCACTGGGCTGGATTCGGGGCAATGGCTTGGTTGCTCTTTGGAGTGTGAGTGGAGAATGGTGGCGCAGTGGTTAGAGGACAGCGCTTCGAACTCTGTACCCTGGGTTTAATTCCCTGGCCACAGTGTTGAGTAACATCTGAACTGGTCCTCTGCCTGTCCTGGGTCGACTCAGCCTCAAATGAGTATCTGGTGTTTCAGTTTTCAGTTTCATTTATTTGGTATAGCCCTGTGAGCCATTCGGCTCTTGAATCGGGTGCAACCGTGTGGTACATAAACATCAGCACTGAAAAGGTGCTGACCACACAACCCCCTTGTGTCAGCCTTAATAGATGATGCAAACAGCAGCACTTGCCCCATTAGCTTATGTAGATTATATAGGGGAACTTTCTCCTTGTAGGTGAGTGTACATGTGGTTAGAAATTACGTGTATACAGTATAAGCAAGTGCGTAGAAGTAGAGCTTTAACAAGTATTCAATAACAGTACTTTCCTGCAGTCTGTATGGCTGTACAATAGAATTGTAAAAAGCATAATAAGTATTATAACTTCGTGTGCATATGGGTTTGCGAGTATCTAAATGGGATACATTTATACATGCGTAGTAGGTTCAGCTGAAGTGCACACTCGAACTTGGAGGCAACACATTTATTCACCACCCAACGGGGTAACTATATAACCACTCACAGGGTAACGACATAGGGTGGTGACCACCACTGCTAACTACTAAACCACTTGACGGGATTCTCCATATAATGGGAACCACCACGGGGTAACTATTCAATTGGACCCGGCTAATTAACATTTTGTCTGGCCTACGATGCCGTGCGCGAAGACCCAAGACCGAAGAGCAAAGAGTTCCATTCCCAGAGACAGCCACGATCGGGCTTGGCTTTTATAGGCCGCGGCGTGGCCAGGGGCTTCCAGATCCTTCTCGAAGACTCTGGCCCCTACATCACGTGTCCCTCTCACCCCCTTCTTGGCCCCCCTTTCCACCTCGTCCAGTCACGTGCCCTCTCGGGTTCACTCAAGAGCACCATGTCCTCGCCCGACCTCTCTCTCACCGTCACCAGGGCTATGCCCCCTAGAGAGCCCTTCCATGGCACACTCACTCTGGCGCTAGAGAGAGGCTCCGCACATACAGTACCACTCTTCACGTGGTACAATACACATGTATAACAATGTGTGTGTAAATACGTGCATATATGTGTATAAGGCTAGCCAGGGGAGGGGAGGGGTGGTTGCATTTATACATACGAGTGAGCGGTTAGTTATGCTTAGGTGAGTCAGGAACATTTTATTGTGAACATATGTACATCAGTGGTACCTGATGTACTGTATAAACCTTTCTTGGGGACCCTCCCTAAGTCTTGAAATATGTAGGTGCTGCAATGTGTAAACATCAGCACTGGGGAGACAAATACAGCCGGAGTGGCTCTAAAAACACCACCACCTATGTCGTGACCACCTTCATAGGTACTCAGTAACAACACTTGTCATAAAGCTAAACGGGGAATCTTTTGTCGTTGTTGTACGAGTATGTGTGTGTATAAGTGTGCCTACGTGTTCAAAGAACATCAACCAAAATTAAGTAAAACAGTTGCCCGGCTTGCCAACCACCATTCAATTTAAAAGTGGGCAAATAATTGTAATAAAAAAAATACCATAAGGGTAGATATCACTCATGTGGTGGGATATTGTCACCCACCATCATCTCCAAACTGCCACCAGCTATTGTGTTGTTGCAGCTTTCCTCCAAATAATATCATACCCCCCCCCCACCCAGACTCCTTGTCCAGGTGTTCAATGTGCAAATTCTGCCAAGCCACTGGTACACAATGGGCGATAATTTGCAGTTAGCCAGATGTTCCAAAAACATTTAAGCACACTCCTTTATGACAAAAAGTCGACCCTTTGCAATGTCTCCACTTTGACTGTGCACACCTTCTTCTTGGTTCTTTCGGTAAAGTCACGTAGAAGGGAAATAATAAAATAATAAAAATAAAACAATAAAATAAAGACCTGTTCTTCACCTGAGGACGGCTGCTTGCGTTGTGGCCGAAACGTCGTGAGAATTATTTTATGTTGTATTTTTATTATTCTATTATTTCCCTTCTACGTGACTTTACCGAAAGAACCAAGAAGATGAATCCCTGCAGTCACGAAAACTTTAAATCGTGCACACCTTATTACAAACTCTGTCATAACACTGCAAGATCCTTCCTCATCTATGCCTTCGTCACGACCTGGCTCTCTTCTCTCACTCCTCCTCTAATCTCCAGAGTCCAGGTGATCCATTACGGCTGAAAACATCACCACATCATCTCAATGCTCCAATGCCTTCTGCTTGCTCCTGTTCCAAGCCTGGATCAATTGCAAAATCTCACTCGCCATCGTCAAGACCCACCAAGGACTCGCCCATGTATACATACATTTCCCTTCTCACCTTACTCTACAACTAGTCAAATCAGTGCCACGTGTGCAGGCCAATAAACGAAAACATTTTAATTTTCTTTTACAAGGTAAAGCAGTTAGCTATTAGCTTTTTTTCACAAGTTATCTGGCCACAAATACACACAACGAAGTGGCAGCCAAATACACGACACACGCATGTTTAGAGAAGAACCGGAGGGACCAGGAGAAAAATCAACACGACCACGGGGAGAGGGACATGAAAAATCCAAATATACAGGCGTCAGGTTAGGGTTCGAACCCACGACCTCCTGCATACCAGGCGAGAGAGACAACATCTCGCCGCAAGTTTATGTCTGGCTAATAAAATATACCTGGACGACATAATTGCTGCTTGTTCTAACTTTTGGGCGATTTAAAAATGTTGATACGACTAAAGTAAAAAAAAAATTCTCTGGTGGTAACAGCAAATTCAAATATTTTGTCTGTGCCAATGTGGCATTTCCCCAACTCGCTCATGCACTCTCTGCTCCAGCAGCCAAGGCTATTGAAGACCCCAGTCAACCTTCACTCAATGTGAGGTCACTCAATCTCCTCTGCTACCCCCCCACAGCCATCCATGCTGTCGAATCCCCGCCCGCGTCGTCCCAAGTCCGGCGTCAATCCATTCTTCATGCCCTCTACGACTGCCCGCATCTACACAAAATAAGTCACGCGTTTAAACTATTAAAAGCGGCTCGAGACGTGGTTGCGTTACGATACTCCACGCACCCAAAGTGAATCGAACAATGGTCACAAACCTGTACAAAACCTCAAGTGCCCTCGGTTTGTTGATCAATTCCACTACTGTCCGCTTGCACGGTCGGATTTGAACCCCAGATACAAAGTGACACCACCACGAAAACCGAGGTGCCATGGGACAGACGGGGCTACATCGTGGGCAGCAGTAGCGGCGTCTTGGCCAGAGGCAATAGACGAGGCCATAGACCATTTAGGAGCATAGTGCAGTACAACAAACGCTGTTTTTAGCAAGCCACCACTACACCTCAATACACCTCGCGACGCACCCACACGCTTGTCACCCACCCAGAGACCACTTCTCTATCCAGGCTCGGCTTGCGAGATGGAGGAAGAGGTGGGGGGGGAGCTGCTTTTGATCGAGAGGCGTTACTCGGTAGAGGGGGGGGTGGCGGCAGCAAAGATGCCGCGAAACAAACGCACGGCAATGAAGGCGAAACGACGACGACGATGCAGTGTGGAGCGACACACACGGGGGTGGCTCAACGGCGTCGTTCTCTTCGCCTCGCGGTGCACACGCGTGTGTTAGTACTGATGCTGCTGTTGTCGTGTATGTCGCTGCTGCTGCTGTTGTTGTTTGTTGTTGTTGTGATCGTTGTAACACGTACCGAGGAAGCCATGAGTGCTGAGGCGGCAGCGGCGGCGGGGGGGGGGGAGCCGCGCTCAGCGCGCCGCCATCACGAACCCGGCCCGGTTACCGTGGGGACGTCGCGGCCCGCGCATGCGCCGTTGGGGGCGGAGTAGCCACGCCCCTCCTCAGGCAAAGCCACGCCCCCCAGGCAAAGCCACGCCCTTCCACAGTCAAAGCCACGCCCCCAGACAAAGCCACGCCCCTCATTGGACAAAGCCACGCCCCCAGACAAAGCCACGCCCCTCCAGGCAAAGCCACGCCCCTCCAGGCAAAGCCACGCCCCCCAGACAAAGCCACGCCCCTCCTTGGGCAAAGCCACGCCCTTCCCCAGACAAAGCCACGCCCCCAGACAAAGCCACGCCCCTCCAGGCAAAGCCACGCCCCCCAGACAAAGCCACGCCCCCAGACAAGGCTACGCCTCCAGACAAAGCCACGCCCCTCCAGGCAAAGCCACGCCCCCCAGACAAAGCCACGCCCCTCCTTGGGCAAAGCCACGCCCCCCAGACAAAGCCACGCCCTTCCCCAGGCAAAGACACGCCCCCCAGGCAAAGACACGCCCCTCCCCAGACAAAGCCACGACCCCAGCCATAGGCACGCCCCTTCAGGCAAAGCCACGCCCCTCCCCATACAAAGCCACGCCCCTCCCCAGACAAAGCCACGCCCCTCCCCAGGCAAAGCCACGCCCCCAGCCAAAGCCACGCCCCTCCAGACAAAGCCACGCCCCTCCCCAGACAAAGCCACGCCCCAGTCAAAGCCACGCCCCTCCCCAGGCAAAGCCACGCCCCTCCAGGCAAAGCCACGCCCCTCCAGACAAAGCCACGCCCCCAGCCAAAGCCACGCCCCTCCCCAGACAAAGCCACGCCCCTCCAGACAAAGCCACGCCCCCCACCTCTTATTTCTGATCAGTTTAACACGTAGCAAGGTTTCGCGACCAATATTATCCATAAAAGATCAATAGTAAAATTTCAATTCAAAGCTTTCGTGACTGCAGGGATTCATCTTCTTGGTTATTTCGGTAAAGTCACGTAGAATGAAAATAATAAAATAATAAAATAATAAAACATAATAAAATAATTCTCACGACGTTTCGGCCACAACGCAAGCAGCCGTCCTCAGGTGAAGAACAGAAGACAGTCAGACAGTCAGACTCTGTCTTCTCGACAGACCTGTTCTTCACCTGAGGACGGCTGCTTGCGTTGTGGCCGAAACGTCGAGGAATTATTTTATTGGTTTATATTTATTATTTTATTACTTCCCTTCTACGTGACTTTACCGAAAGAACCAAGAAGATGAAGATCAATAGTATCCATGATATTTTTTTGTTCTTTGTGTTAGATCGCGTAAAATATGAACGTGTCGTTAAACCCGGCTGTCGCCTGATGATGCTCGTCGTAATGTACTGGCGAAATGTCGAACTCGGATTGTAAATGTGGGTTTGCTCTCCAGCACAAAAGCGGTGTTGCTGTACTAGTTACGAATTGGCACGTTCTGTTAACGTGACAAACCTTACTAATTGGCTGTGTCGGGTGGTGGCGGGTTAAACAACACATTATTTTTACGCGATCTAACCCAACCCCCCCCCCCCCCATTATTATGGACTTCATGCTGATGTTGAGCCTGAGTCAAGCAACAACTGTAACATCTGCAGTTGTTAATATTGTTTTTTTTATTATTAATGCAGGCGATACTGCCGATCTGTAGGCAGTGGTGCGAAAGTATAAATCATCTTTTTGGTTCTTTCGGTAAAGTCACGTAGAAGGGAAATAATAAAATAATAAAAATAAAACATAATAAAATATTTTATTTTATTATAATAAAACAATAAAAATAAAATATTATTTCCCTTCTACGTGACTTTACCGAAAGAACCGAGAAGATGAATCCTTGCAGTCACGAAAGCTTTAAATCGAAAGTATAAATCATATTTAATTTTAAAAACTCAGTCGCACTGTGATTGTGGCCTTTAAAAGAAACAAAACCCCATACTAAGGCGACGTTCCGGGCATGTTCAATTGTTCTGTTTTGCATTCCATCTTTCTCGTTCGTATTGATTTCGCACGCACATTCTCGCCCCCCGATTGCTTCCAACACTTCTCTCGAATGTCCATTCGTGTCCCGTCCCATTTGTATGTGTCCCCCTCGTTCTACCCACCGTGCCATTGTCCGAAACATTCTGACAACGGAGGCAGTCATCCAGCAGTGGATCAATCCCTTGAATCAGTAACACACGTGCATAGAATTTCTTACACATCAAGGGACACATCAGTCGTGAATAATCGATCGTCGTACGCACGATTTCCCTCTTACCCCCCCCACCCACCCACATCGCTGGTCCGAATCGATGACTCCGTTATCCTCTACTCTGGTCTGGCGCCCACAATCTCCCCCTCACCAAGAATGGTCGCGTCCGTGGCTGTTGAGATAACTTCGACTGCCCCCCCAATCTCCCCTTCACTAGAATGGTCGCGTCCGTGGTAGTCGAGATAACTTCGACTGCCCCCCCACCCCCAAATCTCCCCCTCACCAGAATGGTCGCGTCCGTGGCTGTCGTGATAACTTCGCCTGCCCACCCCCCCAAATCCCCCCCTCACCAGAATGATCGCGTCCGTGGCTGTCGTGATAACTCCCCCCCCCCAAATCCCCCCCTCACCAGAATGGTCGCGTCCGTGGCTGTCGTTATAACCCCCCCCCCCCCCCAATCTCCCCCTCACCAAGAATGGTCGCGTCCGTGGCTGTCAAGATAACTTCGCCTGCCCACCCCTCCAAATCCCCCCCTCACCAAGAATGGTCGCGTCCGTGGCTGTTGAGATAACTTAGCCTGCCCCCCACCCCCCCAAATCCCCCCTCACCAGAATGGTCGCGTCCGTGGCTGTCGAGATAACTTCGACCACCCTCCAAATCCCCCCCTCACCAGAATGGTCGCGTCCGTGGCTGTCGACCACCCTCCCCCCAAATCCCCCCTCACCAGAATGGTCGCGCCCGTGTCCCGACCGGCCAGGCCGTCGTGACAACTTCGCCTGCACCCCCCCAAAATCGAGGGCCCCCCTCTCGCTACCGGGGCCCCCCACCAGGCGCAATGATGGAGGACAAGAGCACGTCCCCGGCACTGGGGGCGCCTCCTCCTCCTCCTCCCCGGGGGGGCCAGGCGCCCGCGGGCGGCGTGGAATCGGAGCTTGCCTCGGCAGGGCGCATCGATCTCAAGGGCTGTTCGCGTTTCGTCAACTCGCTCAACGCCCAGAACAGCCTCAACCTACAGGACCAGGTCAACTCGGACCTCGAGGTCGCCTCCGTCCTCCTCAAAGGTCCAGACACGGAGCCGGTGGCCGCGAGAGAAGGGGTCGAGGGGTCGTGGTGGTGGGAGGGGACACGTTTGGTTGTTGTGGTCGTCTTGGGGGGTGATGAATGGGAATGTTGGAGGTGGATTCGAATGTTTTGTGGTGGCGAGGGGGTTTTGCCGGGGCCACCCAACCCCTCGTGTGCAGTGCCGGCCTTCATAGGCGCTCGCTAACAGCACTTGCCCCAGCAGTCCGTTAAGGCTACACGGGGGACCTTTGTCTTTGTGAAGGGGAGCGGTGGTGGAGCGGTTAGCGCGCTGCGCTACGAACCCGGCTGCTCGAGTTCGATTCGCGCTCACTGCCAACACGAGTAATGGTTATCTGAATCTGTTCTGAGCCTCCCCTAGGTCGACTCAGCCTCAAATGAGTACCTGGTGCGGTGTCTCGTAAGCATCGCCACTGGGGAGACAAAGGCGGTCGGGCGTGGTGCTGGCCACCCACCCGCTCGCTAACAGCACTTGCCCCAGCAGTCTGTTAAGGCTACACGGGGGATCTTTGTCTTTGGGGATGATTTCAGTTTCAGTGATTAGGTATAGCCCTGTGAGCCATTCGGCTCTTGAATCGGGTGCAACCGCAACAAACAAAAAACAAAAACATGAACAAAAAACATCTTAAAGTGAATATGTGACTGAGTGCAAACAGAAAATCCAAAAAAAGACAGCAAAATGTTGCTGAAAAAGCACCGTACACCAACGCTGTGTGCAAAAATCCCAGTGGGATGCAAGTCAAACAACAACAACCACAAGACTACTTAGATTAAGGCCATCAGTCTAACTCTGTACTACAACAAACATGGCCAAACCAAAAAAGTTTTCGAAAATCACCAAAATAAAGCCAGAAAAGCAATTAAACAGTGGTCATAGGAACTGTGACCGAATTTTCACAATAAACGACGCAAACAACATGTACTACCAAACTCTGCAGCCATAGCTGGCTGCATGAGTCACTCCACAACAGTAGGAGCATCAGTCGGAGTATCATCATTTTTAAATGCACCTTGATAAAGACGTGGTGGCGGTTGTTTTGGTGATACTGGTGTTGTGATTGTGGTGTTGAATTTGGTGGTGACGGGGTTCATGGTGGTATGATCTTGGATAGACGTGATGGTAGGGGATTGCTGTTGATTGTTTTAATGGTTGTGGTGATTTGACACGTTTCTGGTATGGTCGTATTGATGATGGTTGTGGTGATGATGGTTGTGGTGATCAAAGGTGATCACTACCACCACACCATCACTACAGCTACCACCATAAACCCCTACAACCACCTTCCCCGCCACACCCATCATCACCACACACTTAGCCGACCGTGCTAATCGGAGAGGACGTCTACGGTGGGTAATAAATTCAACATACAGTAGTAACACGCATAGGGCTGGTGGTAGACATGGTGATAGGAGTCGAGGTGTGAGATGATAGCGGTAGGGGACATGGTATTTTCAGATCGTGACGCTGGAGGATACCTTTGCCAACCCCCCCGCCCCTTCTCACCTTGCCCGTCTTGTGGTCACGGGGTGCAGCGGAGAGCGGTGTTCCCGTGTCCCCGTTGGGGGAGCCGGGTCCCCCGACGCGTCTGAACTACACGCCGTCGGCTGCCAAGCACTTCTCGCCCGTCAAGCAGTCCACGGCGCTCACCAACAAGCAGCGAGGAAACGAGGTGTCCAACACGCCGGGCCTGCTCGCCAGTGAGTCAATCGTCATCCAACGCGGCTCACTCGCTCGAAGCTGTGTAAGCGCCCTTTTTCAGAAGCGACCTGCACCCCACCCCCCGGCAAATGACAGCTCAACGAAGTGGCTTGTCGGTGTGGAAAATGTATGTCGGCCAAATACTCCAAACGCACGTTGAGTCTGAATGTGGAAGAGAAAAAAAGACGGAGGACCCAGAGAAAAATCCACACGACCACGGAGAGAGAGACACCGCAAACTCCAAATGTACAGCAGCAGGCGTCAGGGTCGAGATCGAACCCGCAACCTCCTGCATACCAGGCTAGGTCGTTAACATCTTGGCACCGTGGCCCCCCTGCTTGCTCTCTGACCTGTGACCCGCATGCCCCATTCCCTTGACCCACAGAACTCTCGCTCCATCAGCTGGCTGCTCAGGGGGAGCTTCAGAATCTGACGATAAGACTGGATCAAGGTGAGAACACGGCCGTCTCTTGTCACCGTTATCCTTTTCATAAGAATCAGCAGTGATTATTCCACTGCTGGCCGAAAGTCTTAATTGCTTATGCATCTACAAAATGTGCTACCGCTTTTCACGTGGTCTTATAAGACGCTGACGTTTCAGGCATTGGCCCTTCTTTTCTGAAACATCAGCCAGCTATATATCATATTGCAAAGATGGTTCAGGTGCATCCCTGTAATTTCTTGCTCATACCGTTGCTGGTAGAAAGACCTCCGATGCAGGCAGCTCTAGAGATAGGTGCTGTACGGGTACTTGGTCTGGTATTTGATGTAGAACAATGGGTGCCCCAGTGGCAAGATGTTAACTACCTCACCTGGTATACAGGAGGGCATGGGTTTGATCCCGACCCTGACCCCTGTATATTTGGAGTTTGTATATTTCATTCCCCGAGGTCGTGTGGATTTTCTCCGGGTCTTCCGGTTTTCCTCTCCACATTTAGAATCAACATGCATTTAGAGTATTTTGGCTGCAATAAACTTCCACACGATAAGCCACTTCTTTGAGCTATCATTTGTGGCCAGGTCACATCTGAAAAAAAGCTGTATAGCTCAGTGGGCCTTACCTGGTAAATAAAAATATATTTTATTAGAAGTGGGAGGAGCGCCAACACATTACCCCACCGCATGCCACCTGCCGTTCGACCGAGTTCTACAGCTGGGTGTGGATGGAGGCCAGGAGATTTTAAGAAATCTGCCCAATATTTCAACTGCCGCGCTCCGGAAAATTTCACTTTGCAACCACCGGATTGCCAGTCCAGTTTGATAGCAGTTATAACACGGCGGAATGTATTCTGTGCTTATAATGCGGTGTTAATTAATTAGGATAATCACCTTCTTGGTTCTTTCGGTAAAGTCACGTATAATGGAAATAATAAAATAATAAAAATAAAACATCATTAAATAATTCTCACGACGTTTCGGCCACAACGCAAGCAGCCGTCCTCAGGTGGAGAGCAGGTCTGTCGAGTAGACAGAGTCTGAATGACACACTCCAGGCTTGGAGCGACTATTTAAGCTGGGATGGAGGGGGGAAGGGCGCCTTGACAAAATAATTTGCATATCAAGAGGAATTTAGCATATTAGGATAATCACACTGAGTTTGCCCCTTTTTTTCTGCACATTCAACTTCCGCTATTCCCTGTGTTGTCTCTCCCGCCGCCGTGATCTAACCCCGAACCCCTCCGCAGATGGCATGGTGGACGTGATGGACGAGCGAGGACTCACCCCGCTCATGTGGGCGGCCGCGCACGGACAGATCGCCGTGGTTGAGCTCCTGCTCAAGAAGGTAGCGGCGATTGTGGGAACGCAGCAGCGATGGTCGCGTCGCTCCTTAACCCCGGCAACCTCGGAGCCGGGCGTGGTGCTGCTCACACCGCTGGCTCGTGCAACGTGCCGGCCTTCATAGCGGCCTGCTAACAGCACTTGTCCAAGTAGTATGTTACGCTATGCTTTGGTTTGTGTGTGTGTCTCCAGGGTGCGTCGCTATGAAACCCGACGGGCCAGAGTTCGATTCCCGCTTACGGCCAACATCAGTCGATTATCTGAATGGGTCCTGGGCCTCCCCTAGGTCGACTCAGCCTCAAATGAGTACCTTGTGCGGTGTATAAACGCCGCCACTAGGGAGACAAAGGCGGCCAGGCGTGGTGCTGGCAACCCTTTCCCTTGTACGCCGTGCTGGCCTTCCTAGGAGCTCGTTAATAGCACTTGCCCTGGTAGTCTGTAAGGCTATACTTTGGCTATACTTTGTGTGTGTGTGTGTGCAGGGTGCGTGTGCGTTTGCGGTGGCGCGCGAGCGGGAGAACGCGCTGTCCCTTGCCTGCACGAGTGGGCATGCAGACATCGCACACATGCTGCTGCTGCGTGGTGCCGACGTGAACGTCTACGACTGGGTGAGCGCCTTCGCCCACTCGCCCCCTCGCCAACTCGCTCGCCCCCTCGCCAACTCGCTCACCCGCCCGCCCGATCCCTCGCCAACTCGTTCGCCCGCCCGCCCGCACGGCGTACCGTCGCTCGCCACCCTGGCCTCGTCCCCCACTTCCACTGTTGTGCAATGTGGCTCCACTCAGTGTGTGCTCGTCTATGCAGGCACGCATGTTGTCAGCAGAGGGCAGTAACGGCTGGTAATGGCTCGCACAAAGCGGTGGTGTGGCCAGAACCCTGTCCAGCGCTGATGTTCACACAACACACTTGGAACTTAATGAAGGCCGAGTTGACTTTAAATAAGTTGACCACACCATGGGCGCCAAGGTGGCGAGATGTTAAGTACCTCGCCTGGTATACAGGAGGTCGCGGGTGTATATTTGGAGTTTGCATGTCCTCCCCGTGGCCGCGTAGATTTTTCTCCGGATCCACCGGTTTTTGCCTCTATATTTAGAAACATGCGTTTGGAGTATTTTGCGACCATAAATTTCCGCATGATAAGCCACTTCCCTGAGTTATCATTGGTCGCTTCTGAAGAGCTATATAGCTCAGTGGACCTCGCCTGGTAAAATATATAATAGTTAATAATTTTTATAGGCCTAGGGTAGGCTCTAAATACCACTTGCTTCTGGGTACACCACTACCTCCTGCGCGCCGTTGCCAGCCTGAATGGGTGTTCGCTTATGGCACGTGCTCCAAGCGACATGATGTGTTTTCTCTGTGCTGACAGAACGGTGGGACACCCCTTCTGTATGCCGTGCACGGGAACCACGTGCGCTGTGTGGAGCTTCTACTGAGTAAGATATGGACCCATTCGTTTCATGCAACAACCTCATGGCACTAGTGTCGACATTGAAGTCGTCAATACCCAGAGAACTTTTTCAAAGTCTCCTGCCATACCCATTTACACTTCTCACTCAGGGTGGGACCCGTTCACCGCTGAATCTCAGAACGTACAAGCGGTTCAGCGTTAATTTATATTTAGAGGGGTGTAGCGCTGTTGATTTTAAAGACATTTTATTCACCGCAGAGAACTGTAGCGACACGACTGCACTCTACAATAGCTGGTGTCAAACTGTGCCAAACGCCTTCCCGCATGGCGTTGTGGGAGCCTCGTTTTCGATAAAGTTATTTTATTTTAGTTTTTCTTCTGGTTCTATTCCATGTACGTCATCGGAATTGAATCAGAAGTAAAACTAATGATGTACACGTACGTTATCGGAACGGGAAAGGGTTAAAATACCAAGCAACTTTTATTCTAAATTGTACATTCATTACTGCGGCTTGGCGAGTGGCTGGCAATCGATTTGAGAGCGGCTCGCAATCGTAAAGTTGCAAGTTGAAATTCTGGTTGGGGGCTGACTCAGCCCATCATCCCTCCTGGGGGTCAATAAAATTAATTCCACCTTGTGTGTATGTATTTTCAACTTCTTTCGCGCCGTACGTAGCCAACCGTGCTAATCGGAGGTGCGAGGGAAGGACAACAAGCCAATGTGGGGAAGTCAACAGTGGTTCTCCTGTGGATAGACTCCATAGGAATGATGATTTTCCACCAATGGCTCAGGCCTGGAAATCTGAGCTGAGCACCACCTTGATGCTCACTTGAGCAGAAAATTGCTTTGACCTTTGTGACTGAGAGGCGAAGTAGTACCAGTTTTGTCGATGGCTTGGATTGGAACCAACTTATGGCACGCTGCTTGCCTTGCGTTGTATAACTCCTTGCGTGCACGTGTGTCGCAGACAGTGGAGCGGACGTGATGGCGGAGACGGAAGCGGGACTAAACGCACTGGAGCTCGCAGCTGCACTGGGCCACCGCACTGGTTTGTCTTGTCTTGCGGCTTCACGCTCAAGAATTTGAAAACTGTTAATTGTGTGTCGTTGCCATTGTATGTTTGTGCCTGTGTGACTGAGTATGTGTGGGGAGCGGTAGTGTAGGTGTTCGCGAGCTGCACTACGAACCCGGAGACCCGAGTTAGATTCCCGCTCACGGCCAACACCAGTGACGATTACCTGGACCGTTCCTGGGTCTCCCCTAAGTCGACTCAGTCTCAAATGAGTACCTGGTGTGGTGTGTAAACATAACCACTGGGGAGACAAAGGCGACCGGGCGTCGTGTTGGCCACCCACCCCCTCGTGTGCCGTGCCGGCCCCTTCATAGGTGCTCGCTAACAGCACTTGCCCCAACAGTCTGTTCAGACTATACGAGGGATCTTTATATTTTGTGCGTGTGTCTTTGGGGAGCGGCAGTGTAGCGTTTAGCGCGTTGCACTACGAACCCGGGAACCGGAGTTAATTTCTTGCGCACGGCCAACACCAGTGACGATTATCTGAACCAGTCCTGGGCCTCCCCTAAGTCGACTCAGCCTCAAATGAGTACCTAGTGCGCTGTGTAACCATCACCACTGGGGAGACGGTCGGGCGTGGCGCTGGTCACCCATCCCCTTGTGTGCTATGCCGGCCTTGATAGGTGCTGCGTGCTAACAGCACTTGTCCCAATAGACTGTTTAGGCCAGGGGTCGGCAACCAAAATAACAAGAAGAGCCATTTCTTTCCAATTCGGTACAAAATTCAGTATTTCAAGAGCCGCAATGCATCTGAGTACATACTGTACATACGTACTCATCGTCAAGAAGCAGCCCGTAAAGAGCCGCATGCGGCTCCGGAGCCGTAGGTTGCCGACCCCTGGTTTAGGCTATACGTGTGATCTTTGTGTCTGTGCGAGCGGTAGCACAGCGGCGAGTGCATTCCCAAATCCTCTGTCTCTTAAGTGGATGATTTATATATATATAAATATATGTGTATATATTTTATTGATGTCTTCATTGTAATGCCCCTCTGCAGCCCAGACCGCCATTGAGAAATACCTGCTGCAGATGCTGCAAGACCCCTAGGATCGACACCTGCCGCCCGAACAAATCGCCACGTCCCCCCCCCCCCCCCCCGTCGTCGCTCTCACTCGTTGAACCGTCGAACGCCGGTGCCAGCGGTGTGAGGATCATCGACAGAGAGACTGCGCTGGCCGCGTTGCGTGCAATTTTATCGTTCACGGCCTACGTGAGCGTTTTGGTGCGGATGCCTGAACCTGGATGGTACCGGGTATGGAGTAGTGGACAGCTGTAATGCGGCTTTTTTGGAGGCGAGGGTTGGTGGATGAAGAATATTTGTGAAACTCCCGACTCTGCCGGAGCCTAAGTGGTCAAGAGCTGGCAGTACAGCAAGTGGATTCCTGACTGCATGTCCGTTCTGATTGTGTGTCTTGAGTGTTATCGTTCCGGTATGCTTGTGTTTTCTCCAGCTACTAATTCCTAATATGTAAGAATAGTCCTCATATAGGATTTAGCCAAACATACCAATGCAGGCCGTTCCTAAAAGAGGATCCCCACAGACTCTACGGGTGTCTCCTCCAAAAATTAAGGATAGTTCTAACACTACCACCACCGTCAAAAGAAATCTCGTTTTAAGACTTTTCTAAAACTAGTACCGTCACCAGCGCCTCTGTGCGTGATGCTCCGAATAGGCTGGACGTCATCTGACCCAGAGGATCATCGTGGGCTCGTGTCGAAGGTGCCGCCGAAGGATCATCCTTCAGGTGCCTCCTACAGGTGTCGGGCTCCATAGGCCTGACATTCTGGCTTCTTCTCATGATGTTGGCTCTTGGTCGAGCGTCGCTCTCCTCGTTAGTACTGCGGGACGATGCTCCCGCCCGTAAATTGGCTCAACCACTCGTAACCCGCTCTCCTTCAATGGGGGAGTAGCAGCAAAACTCCCATTAGCACGTTTGGCTACGTACGGTGCAAAAGAAGTTCAACACACAGACGAATGCTCTCCTGAGGCCCTTGTCCCGTGGCAAGCGGACCTCGACGTTGGCTCTTAGCTCCGGAACCACATTGCCTCCATACGCCGAGCGTAGAATAGAACCTGTGAGCGATGGCTGGGTGCTGCCAGGCCGTACTGAACATTCAGTTCTTGCGTGCGCATAGAGATTTGGAACCCCTGGCACTAGCAACAGGGACCATTCCCTTATCCCCGTTTCTGAAGCTTGGGGTGGGATTGCTTTACGCACCCCGGCGTGCGCCCAGGAAGAGGGTGGTAATTGAGGTGGGGGGGGCAGTGCGGAAAGAGACACCGTAGAGACCTGCATGGTCAGAGGTTGGACTCCTGGGTATCGGGAGGTGTGGTTCTTTGCCAGGATAAACTGCGTTTTGACACCTCCTTTACTCGGCCAAACCCGGACATATTTCTTAGCGCTTTATCAAAACTGTGTTTTGTTTGTTGTCCTTTCCCCGCACCTCCGATTGTTACGGTTGGCTACGTACGCTGCGAAAGAAGTTCAACGTACATGTACATACACGTACAGCTCATTGCAAATATCGGAATCGGATCTCGGTACAAAACGATTTCTGCCACCTGAAAAAACGTGTGCCAGTTCCTGGGCTGCTCGGGTCAAAGCCAGATCACATACGACGGGCATCTTGCCATCCATCTGGGTTTTCCACCCATGCGGGTTTTACCTGGATGGGTGGTAACCTGATAGTCTCCAACGGCAGGCTTGTGATGATGCCCTTCTAACTTTTTCTGTGAAGCGAGGGAAGGTAACGAATGCCCTGCCCCTCTCTCGTAGCACATCGTGCATTATCAGCCGGAGGTTATATCTCTCAATCGTGGCTGGTTGTTGCCGAGGCCTACAAAATTCCATCTTGATGTAATAAATCAGTATAAATGTGTCGAAACCCTCCAACAAAAACGCCAATTAGTTACTACTTCAGCCCACTGTTGTGTTGGAGAGTAAATCCACAAGATTTACAATTTGAATACGACTTTTCGCTGGTAATTACATGCAGCATCATCGGGCGATTTGCCAGAATAGTGAAGCAATCCACCTGCTTCCGGTCTTAGATCGAGCAGCAGCAGGATGCCGTCATCACCTGAACGCGATCTCACCCAAAAACATTTATTACGAATTTACATTTGACTGTTGATGTGCATCACCGGCAATTGCAATATCTTATTTGTAAATATGATTTTTTATAAAATAAAAACGAATAAACAGACTTTCCTCTTGTTATGCTTGTACTTGATCGCGTACAATCGATTGCGCAATTAGCGATACGATTTATGCAAATAATATTCAAACGGGTCACATGAAACTGCACAAAGACAACACGGTGACACGTGCCGAGTGTCAATGCATTGTCCCAGGCAGTGGCACATGCGTGCCACCGAACCACACTGACTACGAGACGGGGCTCGAACTGGCCGTCGGGCATCTGCCCAGTCGTGCCGGTGGCCCTGGTCTGTGCGGAGAAATTGCAAATGTGATCAAAGTAAAAAACAAGTAATATTAAAAAAACAACTTTTTTTTAAACACGCTTTTATGAAATGTACTAGTAATGGAAGAACTCCACGACTCCAGGAAGTGGCCCCGAAGCTTGCCATAACGTCAGGGGCCGTGGGCAATTACAGCCAACGTCAGTTAACCGTGGACAATTAGACCCAAGCCGAAACATAACGTAAAAAAGAATTTTTAAAAAAATATATTGTTTATTTTTTATGACAGAATATAGTATTGTCATCAGTATGTCATAAGTATATCTAGTTTGCAGTCGATACCACATTGGGAAGTGGGTTAAAATTGAGTTACAAGATTTGAGGATACAACAACAAACAGTGAGTTAAATGAAAGCGTGTAATAAATGCCTTTTTTGTACGCTTCATTGCTTATTTACGCTCTCTGTTGGCATTAAGCTCTGCGTAATCGGTAGCCCCAAAGATTTTTCCTCAGCGGCCCATTTGTTGTTCGGACCCAGCCCCTAAATATGGGCCCATGAGTTCGCACGGCAATTTGGGTCCCGCTGTGTTAAAACAAAAATGCCTCGGCCGATTTCTCGTCCCAGTCCGGCACTGACCACGAGATAACGGAGTGGCACCACGAGACGTCTATCGCACCTCCAATTAGCACGGTTGGCTGTCATAGCTGTCAACGCCTTATCAGTGCCCTACCTTATTACAGGCCAATTCAGACATTATTGGTCACCCTGTGCCCCTTATATTTCCCAACGTTAATCCTACAAAGTCCTATCACAAGGGAGAAAAACAAATAGACAAAACAAAATAATGTGCCCGTATTGAAACGGCAGTACGCCGTATTGACCTGAAAACTCAATTTCCTTGTACAAGAATACGGGTAAACTGTATAGGCTGACAGGTATAAGAGAGCAAAGGCCATAGAGTTATACCAGTCCAAAGAGGTCCACGCTGAAGGGAGAAACACAAATAAAGCTTTTTTGCCCGTATTGAAACGGCTGTACAGGCCGTATGGACCTGAACATGAAATGTCCCTGTACAGAAATACGGGGTAAACGGTATGGGTTGTGTACGGTGCGAAAGAAGTTCAACATACATCACACATCTTCAATAGAGAATTAGAGTCGAGCCACAGGCAGCGCGGCTGTGGACACGCAATCCAAACCTATGGGGCGAAATGAGAGCGTTGAGCGTCAGTCCCTCGTATGGGGTGGTGGTGGTGGTGTCCCCAAATAAACGTACAACGTTGGGCCAACGTTGGAAATGTGGTCGGAAACGTTCCACGTTTACCGGGTCTCCATGCGTCCTCGAATCCATGCGTTCCCCTTCGCGTCTCGGTGCAATGGCAAGAAATGCATACATCGTATCACGTCTGATCTACGTTACTCTCGTCTCTACGCTGCTCTATTCCAGTTTGTGGTATCGGGTGGTTCATGGCTCAGCCGCGAGGTTTGTTATCCACGGACGTGGTAGCGACTGGCACGTAGCTGAGTTGGGTGGGAGGGCATCCAACGGGTGGGTTTCTTGAAGCGTCGGGGCAATCGACGTCGTGAGTTTGAAATGACCGTGGCGAGATCGTCGCCTTTCGCCCGTGAGATCATCTCTTGATGTCGCAGTTTGCAAGGGTCCCTTTGCCCCCGGGTCGCCCCCTGATTCAAGAGCCGAATGGCTCACAGGGCAATACCAAATAATTGAAACTGAAAACTGAACAGGGGCCCTTGGATGTGGCTCGTGTTGTTGTTGAGCGGGGAGATGGATGCTGGATGTTGGTATTGGTGATGGTGCTGTTGGTGGTGTTGGTGGTAGTGTGTGTGTGTAGTTGCTGCGTTGGCTGGGTCATGTAGCCCGCATGCCCAGCCACCGCATGCCTAAACAGCTTTTGTTCGCCCGGATCGAGGGGGCTAAACGGGCGCGGCACGGGCTAGAGAAGAGATGGAGTGATGTGGTACAGGAGGACGTGGAGCTGAGTGGACATGCCGATGACTGGTACCAGCGGTGTCAAGATCGGCCTCTGTGGAGGAGGCTCGTGAAGGACGCTGCTACTGGGCAGTTGGAGGCAGTCGCCCTTCAACAACACTGGAGGGCGGAGGAGCGACGCTCACAACAACGAGCGGAGCGCCGGGTGGCTAAAGCACAGCAAGTTGGTACAGTAGGGGGCACAGGTGGTGCATCAGCCACTCATCTCACTCATCTCAGTCAGTCGACCTGTGGCACCTGCCGGATCTGCCCCGTGACCTCCTACCAGCGGGCGTTCGACACTTCACGTGGCCTCAAGGTGCACCTAGCCTGGCACAAGCGTCGTGGTGACGTCACCGCCACTTAGTGGCGAATGGCGGTTGTTGTTGTGTCGACCGGGAGATGGATGATCGATGTTGATCGTGGTGATAGTGGAAGTGGTAGTAGTGTGTGTTGCTGTTGCTCTGGAGACCGGGGGATCGATGTTGTTAGTAAGTCGTGATGGTGGTGGTAGTGATGGTGGTGGGAGTGTGTGCTGTTGTTGGTGGTGCATCAGCCAGTCGTCTCAGTCAGTCGACCTGTGGCATCTGGGTCTGCCCCGTGATCTCGTGCCAGCGAGGGTTTGACACTGCACGTGGCCTGAAGGTGCACATAGCCTGGCACAAGCGTCGTGGTGACGTCACCGCCACTTAGTGGCGAATGGCGGTTGTTGTTGTTCTGGAGACCGCTCAATTAACAACAGAGTGATGACTGCCATCTCCCATGCCAGTTGCGTTGTTATTAAATCCTTTATATTAAGTTCGCTTGCTTGCTTATGACCGTGCAAATCTTTCGGTCGTTTTTTAACCCACTTCCCGTGATCCAATCGAGCTGACATTTTCCACACAGACTCGTTGTGCGTGACAATTAATGTTCGTGAAATTTTTTTTCCAAAATTTTACACTTTTTAGGACAAAAATAAATTCTATTTAATTACCAATTGCTTAATGGTGGCAGGCAATCATCTGACCCATAGGTGGTAGCCATCTCAAGCCAGAGGACGAGAGGACTCTAGCCGCCACGCATATAAAGGATTTATAGTGAAAAACTTTGTTTTTACGGGTTATACTTATCATTAAAGGTAAAAAAGCAGCAAACGCATGCCCGTGTCGTGGCAGTGACTGCGTGATGCAGTACCACGATTACGCCGCGAGACGGCTTAACGCTAAACCACCGGACCGTGCGACCTTCCACGAGTTTAATTCCATTATTGCGACCGCGTTGCTCGTCAGCCCACGCGGTTTTATAGGGGCCGTCCATAAATGACGTCACGCGATTTTTGACAATTTATGACCCCCCTCTCGTCACACGGCGTCACAAAAAGTCAGACCCCCCCTCAAATATGACGTCACAAAGCTCTGCCCCCCCCCCCCAAAACCATATTTCCATTTTGAAAATAAAACATGCTTCAAATCGCTTTAAACTATTGTCATTGTAGTGCGTATTTAATGTGGCGCTGCACTCTGATGTTGTAGGAGTGTTGTTATAACAATTATTTCGGTAAAGTAACGTAGAGAACATTATTGTTTTATTTTATCTTTGGTTCTTTCGGTAAAGCCACGTAGAAAATATTATAATTTGATTAGATTTTCCACGTGACTTTACCGAAAGAACCAAAGAGTAATTCTTGTATTCACGAAAGCTTCGAATCGAGTTTTATTTATCCATCGTTGGTAATAAATGCACGGTGCAGTACCCACGCGTTCACACGAGGTGGAGGAGTTGAATCATCTTAAAGCTGATGTCTGGCCCGTGGCCTTTGTTAAAAAGCGTTAGCTCAGAGGTCGGCAAACCGACGGCTCCGAAGCTGAATTGCGGGTGGCTCTTAAAGGAACTGCAGTGCGGCTCTTGAAATTCGAAAAAAATGTCTCTTATTTTGACTTAAACCCTTCGTGACTGCAGGAATAGATATTCTTTGGTTCTTTCTGTAAAGTCACGTAGATAGAAAAATAAAAAGAATGATTAAAAAAATTAAGTTAATAAAATAATAAAAATAAAATAAAAACCACGACGTTTCGATCGTAACACAAAGCGATCCTCATGTGTTGCGATCGAAACGTCGTGGTTTTTGTTTTTATTTTATTTTTATTATTTTTATTCACTTCGTTTTGTATTCTTATTTTTACATCCACGTGACTTTACCGAAAGAACCAAAGAAAATGTCTCTTTTTGTTATTTTGTTTGCCGAACCCCGACCATGGAAGTCCAGTTCACCACGGAAGTCCAGTTTACCATGGAAGTCCAGTTCACCACGGAAGTCCAGTTCACCATGGAAGCCAAGTTTACCATGGAAGTCCCGTTTACCATGGAATTCAAGTTTACCATGGAAGTCCAGTTTACCATGGAAGCCACGTTTACCATGAAAGTCCAGTTCACCATGGAAGCCAAGTTTACCATGGAAGTCCAGTTTACCATGGAAGCCAAGTTTATCATGGAAGTCCAGTTCACCACGAAAGTCCAGTTTACCATGGAAGCCAAGTTTACCATGAAAGTCCAGTTCACCATGGAAGCCAAGTTTACCATGGAAGTCCAGTTTACCATGGAAGCCAAGTTTACCATGTAATTCCAGTTCACCATGGAAGCCAAGTTTACCATGGAAGTCCAGTTCACCATGAAAGCCAAGTTTACCATGGAAGTCCAGTTCACCATGAAAGCCAAGTTTACCTTGGAAGTCCAGTTCACCATGGAAGCCAAGTTTACCATGGAAGTCCAGTTCACCATGGAAGCCAAGTTTACCATGGAAGTCCAGTTT